GGATCATGAGGTCAAGAGATCGAGACCATCCTGGTTAACATGGTGAAACCCCGTCTCTACTAAAAATACAAAACATTAGCTGGGCATGGTGGCGCGTGCCTGTAATCCCGGCTACTCAGGAGGCTGAGGCAGGAGAATTGCCCGAACCCAGGAGGCGGAGGTTGTGGTGAGCCGAGATCGCGCCATTGCACTCCAGCCTGGGTAACAAGAGCGAAACTCCATCTCAAAAAAAAAAGAAAGAAAGAAAAGAAAATGTTTCAAAGTTGGATGATTCCTGGGCTAACTGGAATTCAAACTATTGTCACCAGTGAATAGAGAAAAGTGCAACATTGGCCAAGGAGGATCCAAGGGTGTTCCTTGTCTCTAAACCAACATCTTGGCACTCAAGTAACACTACAAACAGCAAGAGAAAATCACTGGGAGTGGGAAAGTCATATTAAATGTTTTTGTCAGCCTCCATTTCTTGCTAAGCAGTATAAATTGTTCTTTCTCTTAGCATCCCTTCACAAGCTGCAGCTAAGTTAGGGGCTATTTCCAGTCTTTCTGGCTGGAAACTACAAAAGTCAAGTAACCTTCAACCCTGCCAAGACCATACATTCTGACGAGATCCAAACCCTGGCCTAGTTTTTTTCTTATTTCTGTGTGAAATTGCAATCCATCAGACATGATTCATGGAAAGAATAAAGATCAGCTGGGCTAGGAAAAGAAACCTCCTCTCCCCATCAGCCAATCAAGAATTATTTTTCAAGTGTTCACCAGGCACAGTGGTTCACAACTGTAATTGCTGCACTTTGGGAGGCCAAGGTTGGAGGATCACTGAAGCCGAGGAGTTCGAGACTAGCCTGGGCAATATAGAGCGACTCTATACAAAATTTAAAAACTGGGTATGATGGTGGGTGCCTGTAATCCCAGCTACTCAGGAGGCTGAGGCAGGAGGATTACCTGAGTTGAGGAGTTTGATGCTGTGATTGCACCACTGCACTCGTCTGGGTGACAGGACAAGATCCTGTCTCAATTTAAAAAAAAAAAAAAAAAATTATTCAACTGTTAACAGCTCTTTTAGAATTTGTTTTCTCATTTTTACCAGAAAACCCCCATGGGGGTAAAAAAATTCTTCAGACTGCTCCTTGTTAACACAAGGTGGAATATAAGTAAAACAGGTAGATATATCTTTCAATGCTTAGCCCAGTGACTGTGATGTCATAGCACTAGTCTGGAATATTCTTAGAATCTGAATCTGCAGTTGCTTTGTCTGGGCATGGTAGCTCATGCTGTAATCCCAGCACTTTGGTAGGCTGAGGTGGGCAGAAGACTTGAGGTCAGGAGTTCAAGACCAGTGTGGCCAACATGGTGAAACCCTTTCTCTGCTGAAAATACAAAAATTACCCGAGTGCGATGGTTAATACCTATAGTCTCAGCTACATGGGAGACTGGGGCATGAGAATAGCTTGAACCCAGGAGGCGGAGATTGCAGTGAGCCAAGATTGCACCACCACCGCACTCCAGCCTGGACGACACACAGCAAGACTTTGTCTCAAAAAAATAAATAGGGCCAGGCGCGGTGGCTCAAGCCTGTAATTCCAGCACTTTGGGAGGCCGAGGCGGGTGGATCATGAGGTCAAGAGATCGAGACCATCCTGGTTAACATGGTGAAACCCTGTCTCTACTAAAAATACAAAACATTAGCTGGGCATGGTGGCGTGTGCCTGTAATCCCGGCTACTCAGGAGGCTGAGGCAGGAGAATTGCCCGAACCCAGGAGGCGGAGGTTGTGGTGAGCCGAGATCACGACATTGCACTCCAGCCTGGGTAACAAGAGCGAAACTCCGTCTCAAAAATAAATAAATAAGATCTGCAGTTACTTTTTCTCCATTCTTATGCCTGGCACTCCAAAGTCACCTACTTTGTTTTTCTATACAAGACCCTTTAGACTAACAGACAAGTATCACATAGCTTTAAATTTGAGGAACGGGGCCAAGCGCTGTGGCTCAAGCCTGTAATCCCAGCATTTTAGAAGGCCAGGCGGGTGGATCACCTGAAGTCAGGAATTCAAGACCAGCCTGGCCGAGATGGCGAAACCCTGTCTCTACTAAAAATACAAAGATTAGCTGGGCATGGTGGAGCATGCCTGTTGTCCCAGCTACTCAGGAGGCTGAGGTAGGAGAATTGATCGAACCCAGGAGACGGAGGTTGGAGTGAGCAGAAATCACGCCGCTGCAGTCCAGCCTGGGTGACGGTGAGACTATGTCTCAAAAATTAATTAATTAATTAAATTTGAAGAAAAGGAAAAAAAACAAAAAGCAACCAATCTATTACCTTCACACCAGGCCATAAAGTCTGCAAAGCTAGCCTTATGCTAAAGTTTCAACAGGGACTTGGCTTCTGAAAAGGCAGGTGTTGAACATTAGAGATGATACAGTTATATTGTGAGGACTTTTTTTTTTTTTTTTTTTTTTTGAGACGGAGTTTCGCTCTTGTTACCCCAGGCTGGAGTGCAATGGCGCGATCTCGGCTCACCGCAACCTCCGCCTCCTGGGCTCAGGCAATTCTCCTGCCTCAGCCTCCTGAGTAGCTGGGATTACAGGCACGCACCACCACGCCCAGCTAATTTTTTGTATTTTTAGTAGAGACGGGGTTTTACCATGTTGACCAGGATGGTCTCGATCTCTCGACCTCGTGATCCACCCGCCTCGGCCTCCCAAAGTGCTGGGATTACAGGCTTGAGCCACCGCGCCCGGCTATTGTGAGGACTTCTTAACACTTGCTGTTCTAGTTCACAAACCACTATGTTTCCTCATCTTTCTGAAACTTTCTAGGCAGACTCCCTGAGAATGGATAGCCTTGGGCAGAACTGTGAAGTCATCACAAATGGCCCCTCATTTACTCCTTTCTCTCCGCTGAAGTTCCTACCCTGGTCAGACCTCCAGGGTTCTTACTCTTCTGATCCATCCCGGAAGAGGTTTAAAGTAGGAATTCTCAATTACCACTTTAAAAGTGCTATAGAAGAATGGCTGGGAGAGATGGTGTGCCTGTAGTCACAGCTACTTGGGAGACTGAGGCAGAATTGCTTGAGCCCAGGAGTTTAAGTCCAGGCTGGGTAATACAGCAAGACCCCATCTCTAAAAAAAAATTATTTTAAGTGCTATGGAAGAGAGTGATGATTGAACCAAAGGAATGAATCTCTGAGTGGTAGAACTTCAGGGACTTTGATGAGTATGAAAGGTCTCTGAGTGAGAGGGTCTTCCCAGTGCCTGGAAGCTCACTCTTTGATGGCAGCCTTCTACAATACACGTCATAAGCGCTGACCTGCTCTTCTAAGCTTGCCAGGGTGGGTCTTTCCACCTATGCAGCTTGTTTACCTTTAAGTCAATAGTACAAAAATCATTATGTAATTTTTGGCTAGGCGCAGTGGCTTATGCCTGTAATCCCAGCACTTTGGGAGGCTGAGGTGGGCAGATCACCTGAGGTCAGGAGTTGAAGACCAGCCTGGCCAACATGGTGAAACCCTGTCTCTACTAAAAATACAAAAATTAGCCAGGGATGGTGGTGTACCTTTGTAATCCCATCTACTCAGAAGGCTGAGGCACAAGAATCACTTGAACTCAGGAGGTAGAGCTTGCAGTGAGCCAAGATTGTGCCAGTGCACTCCAGCCTGGGTGACAAGAGACTTCGTCTCAAAAACAAAAACAAAACAAAACAAGAAACCTGTTACAGGCCGGGCGCGGTGGCTCAAGCCTGTAATCCCAGCACTTTGGGAGGCCGAGGCGGGTGGATCACGAGGTCAAGAGATCGAGACCATCCTGGTCAACATGGTGAAACCCCGTCTCTACTAAAAATACAAAAAATTAGCTGGGCATGGTGGTGTGTGCCTGTAATCCCAGCTACTCAGGAGGCTGAGGCAGGAGAATTGCCTGAACCCAGGAGGCGGAGGTTGCGGTGAGCCAAGATCGTGCCATTGCACTCCAGCCTGGGTAACAAGAGTGAAACTCCGTCTCAAAAAAACAAAAACAAAAACAAAAAAAAAAAAAAAAAAAAAAGAAACCTGTTACATAGCACATTTCAATGATTTGTGACTTTAAGAAAGCCAAGTGAAATAAAGTATAAAACTATACCCCTGTGGAATCTTTTGATTCAGGGGTAGGTATGTTTAAAAATCAAAACTGGCCAGATATTAAACCTTACATTGAGCAAAGGTAATAAATGCTTTAACTAAAAGACGTCCAATAAAAATTTCAGATCCCTAAGCAGAAAACTTACAAACATGCTTGTACGTTGCTTAAGTACGCTGACAGCAACATCATGTGACAATTCAAAGGGAATCCCCTTTCTTCAAATCTCAGGGTTTCCTTCTCAAGAACTCTCCCTGCCTGTGCGGATTAGGGAGCCCGGGAAGCCCGTTTCAACTTTTCAGTTCTTAGTCTCGAGTCACTACTCCGCCCTGTACTGTCCGGAGGCTTAATGGGAGCGAGTGCGTGGCAGTGAATTCTCCGCTCTATAGTTTTCCCAGTTCTTCCATGGTCTTCAAAAAAGGGCTGTTTGCTCTTGAGCTACGCCTAAACTGAGAAGCGGGAAAAGCCAGCCCCACCAAAGGCGGACGGGTGGCCGAAGCGAAAACCCGGCTAAGGGCAGGGACTGCCCCGCAGAGCAGAGAAAGCGAAGGTTGGCGGGGGAAAGCAGCGCCCCTCGGAAGAAACCGACACCGCCTCGCCAGGCCAAGCCAATGGGCGCCACCAGGCAGCGCCGGGAACGCGCGCCGACGCCCCGCGCTCCGCCGGCGTCCGCCCGTCTCCGCGCGTCCCCTTGTACCCCGCGCGCGGGGGGCGGGGCCGGCGGGGGCGCGCGCGGGGCCGCGGGCAGGGGGGCGGGGCGGCAGAGCTCGGCGGCTGGGAGTGGAGGACAGCGGCGGCGGAGGCGACGAGCGGCGGCGGGAGCGGCGCCCAGAGGCCGGGAGGGACGCGGGCGCCAGGACCGGCCGAACGCAGAGGTAACGCAGGACGGAACAGGCGGCCGGGGAGTGAGCGCGGGCTCGCTGGGTCCCGAAGGCGAGTGGCGAAGGCCGCTCGCCCGGGGCGCCGACGCCGCTCCCGGAGAGGAGGGGGCGGGGCGCCCGGGTCCCCGGAGGTGGCGCCTTTTGTTTGCCTTCTCTGGCCGCTCCGCCCTCCTCCCTTCTCCTGTCCTGCGACCTAGCCCCTTGCCCCTCTCGTGGACGCCTCCTCAGGGGCCCTCTGGCGCGCGCGCTCCCGCCCTTGTTTTGTTTGGACTTGGGGGAGGAGGGGGAGCTCTTCCTTGGCCGTGCGACCCTGCGTCCCAGCGCGCCTGCGTCGGCGTCCTCCGCCCGCCCCGATTGGCTGTGGGCTGCGCATGCTCCGAGGCCCGCCGCGGCCCGGCGTCCGCCCGCGCCCTCCCCTCACCCCATTCCCTCAGCGGTTTTCGGAGCCGGTTAGAAAGATGCCGGCGGCGGTGACTGGCTGCGGCGGGCCCGCCCCCCGGGTTCTCCGCCCCCGCCGCCGCCATTACGGAGCTCCCAGTGGTGAGTGTGCGGAGCACTGAGGCTCGCGTTCCTCCGCTGCTTCTGCCGCCGGGCGGGCGCCGCGGTTTCCCCGCCGAGCGTGAGCCCCGAACTGTCTCCGCGCCGAGCCCCCACCTCGTTCGTCGGTGCCTGCGGTCTCGAGCTTTCCCCGCCTTGCTGGCGGCCGGCGTTCTCCCGCGCCGTGCGCGTTCGCCGCTGTGGCCTGTGGCTGCCTCGCCTCTCCGCTTTGTCTCCGCTGCTCTTGCCGTCCTCCCCGCGGCCCTCTGCGGGCGGCGCTGGCGGCTGTCGCTTTGCTGCTCCGCGACGGCGGCCTTGAGTCTCGCTTCCCTGGTGGCAAACCTAGACCTGGTTACTGCCACCTGAGGCGGTGGGAGCTGAGTGAGAGCAGAGCCTCGGTAGGTCGCCAGAGAGTCACAGGCCATCTGAGCGTGTGTAAGAGACGGAGGCAGGCGGGGGGAGGTGAGAGCCCCAGATCCCAGGGTTGGCACCGCATTGACAGCTGGGACCGGGGACCGCCGCTTGCGCTTTTTGAGAAAGCGTTTCCTCCCGGACCAGGTGAACTGCGCTGCCGCCTCCGCGTGCACGTTCTTTGTGGTGTTTATCGCACTTCCGGACTTGGCATCAGTTTGAAAAGTGAGAATCCAGTTCGAAATACATCTGAAAATCACGTGGGGCTTTTTGAGCACGCTGTCTAGTCTTAGAGTGAAAGTAGACGTGACTCGTGTCGTTTGGAAAGATGCTCTGATTTTGTTTTACCTGGCATCGGCATAACACTTTTTAGCCTTTAAACTTCTCATTGCTCTTCTCGGACGTTAGTGTGATCTGTCTCAAAATAGAAGTAACATTTTGAAGTTTGGTGGGTTGGTTGGTTTTGGTTTTGTTTTGTTTTGTTTTGTTTTTTTTCCCCCAGACGAAGTTTTACTCTTGCCCAGGCTGGAGTGCGATGGCTGGTCTCGGCTCACCGCAGTCTCCGCCTCCCGGATTCAAGCGTTTCTCCCGCCTCAGCCTCCCGAGTAGCTGGGATTACAGGGATGTGCCACCACACCCGGCTAATTTTGTAGTTTTAGGAGAGACGGGGGTTTCACCGTGTTGGTCAGGCTGGACTCGAACTCCTGACCGCAGGTGATCCGCCCGCCTCGGCCTCCCAAAGTGCTGGGATTACAGGCGTGAGCCACCGCCCCCGGTCGGCTTAGGCTTTGGTTTTAAGCTTACTTGGAAGATTTTAGGTCTGGAAGTTGGTGGATAAATTATACTGATTTCTCCATATGTAGATCAAAGTTTTAACTCCTTTGATTTTTTTTTTTTTTTTTTTTTTTTTTTGAGACGGAGTTTCGCTCTTGTTACCCAGGCTGGAGTGCAATGGTGCGATCTCAGGCTCCCCGCAACCTCCGCCTCCTGGGTTTAGGCAATTCTCCTGTCTCAGCCTCCTGAGTAGGTGGGATTATAGGCACGCGCCACCATACCCAGCTAATTTTTTGTATTTTTAGTAGAGGCGGGGTTTCACCATGTTGACCAGGATGGTCTCGATCTCTCGACCTCATGATCCACCCGCCTCGGCCTCCCAAAGTGCTGGGATTACAAGCTTGAGCCATCGCGCCCGGCCAACTCCTTTGATTTTAACAATCCGGTTAGATTGTGATTTTGTTGAGATGAGACACCCTGTAGTGTCCTTAGCATCTGTGCCCAAGACAGACACAGAGTATATGCTTGCTTATATAACTTAACTGAAGTTTGAAAATAAAAACAAAAGGTGCCAGCGATCAAATTACAGGCGTGGTTTTTGTGACATGACTCGTTAAATCTGAGTATTATGAATGACATTAGATTGGGAACAGTGTGAGGTGTTCAGTGCCCCACTAATGACATGTATCACCTATATTTTGGGGTAAAATGTGAAATTATAATACTTTTTCTAAAATGCATATTATCAAGGATATCAGTAAACTGAATTAGGTTGTTAAACTCCTAGTCACTTTTCTATTACGTTGTTAAACTCCTACTCACTTTTCTACTGCTTTCTCTTAATGTAGAGGAAATAAAACTCTGAAATTTGGGGCTTTTTATTTCTACAGTCCTTTTTTTTTTTTTTTTTTTTTTTTTTTTTTTTTGCCTGCATTAGAATAATTTAAAGCCAGGCATGGTGGCTCACTCCTGTAATCCTAGCACTTTGGGAAGCCAAAGAGGAGGATCACTTGAGTCCAGGAGTTAGTGACCAGCTTGGGTAACACAGGAGACCCTGTCTCTACAAAAAATGCAAAAACTATTGCAGTGTGGTGGCACGTACCTGTAATCCCAGCTGAGGTGGCTGAGGTGAGAGAATCGCTTGAGCCCAGAAGATGGCAGCTACAGTGATCCCTGATCATGCCACTGCCCTCCAGCCTGAGACCCTGTCTCAAAATAACCGATTTAATTTAAGCATTTCCCTTGACAAAAAGCAAATCTTTATGTTGTTGTTCTGACATTAAGATTAAAAAGAAAACTGATGTTCCTAAGAGGGCCATGTAAACCATAGGTAAACTCAGACTGTTTTTGGCACATACAAGAACCAAGGTAAAAAACATGAGTAAACTTCATTTGTTCATCCTTTAGTTTAACAAATATTAATTGAGCATCTATTCTGTGCCTGGTATGTTCATAGGCATCAGGTATGCAGCAGGTGAACCAGGTAGATGAGATCACTGCCAGGAACAAGTGTGGCAGCCAAAAAATCTGATCATTCAGAAGTGCAGTAGCAAAAAGTTTAGTTAATAGGTACACTGGGTCAAATGTGGTGGCTTACACCTGTAATCCTAACATGTTGAGAGGCCAAGGCAGGTGGATTGCTTGAGCCCAGGAGTTTGTGACCAGTTTAGGCAACATGGCGAAACCCGAAACCCTGTCTTTACAAAAAAAAAAAAAAAAGAAGCCAGGCTTGGTGGTGCATGCCTGTAGTCCCAGCTACTACGGAGACAAAGGTGGGAGAGTCACTTGAGCCTGGGAGGTTGAGGCTGCAGTGAGCTGTGATACTCCAACCTGGGTGACAGAGTAAGATTACCCTGTCTAAAAACAAAACAAACGTAGGTACAGTGATATTGAGGCAATATGAATTAACCATGCATATATTTAGCTTTGTAATGAACAGTGAATTTATTAAATAGCCAATTACCCCAACTATTCTAAAGCAACTACTAAAGATTGAAGCTTTGAAGTTCTATGACTTTGACTTTTATTAAGGAAATGCAGAGCTCAGGCTAACATATCTTTTGTTTTTTTATTTGAGATGCAGTCTTACTCTGTCACCCAGACTGGCGTGCAGTGGTGTGATCTCAGCTCACTGCAACCTCTGCCTCCTGGGTTTAAGTGATTCTCCTGCCTCCTGCCTCAGCCTCCTGAGTAGCTGGGAATAACCCAGCTGTTCTAAAGAAAGTACTATAGATTGAAGCTTTGAAGTTTTATGACTTTTACTAAGGAAATGCAGAGCCTCGGCTCACTGCAACCTCTGCCTCCCGGGTTTAAGTGATTCTTCTGCCTCAGCCTCCTGAGTAGCTGGGAATAACCCAGCTATTCTAAAGAAAGTACTGTAGATTGAAGCTTTGAAGTTCTATGACTTTTACTAAGGAAATGTAGAGCTGTGGCTAACATCTCTGTGTTTTGTTTTGTTTTGAAATGGAGTCTTACTCTAACCCAGGCTGGAGTGCAGTGGCGCAATCTCAGCTCACTGCAGTCTCTGCCACCTGGGTTCAAGTGATTGTTCTGCTTCAGTCTCCTGAGTAGCTGGGACTACAGGCATGTGCCACCACTCCCAGCTAAGTTTTGTATTTTTGTTTTTGTTTTTGTTTTTTTGAGACAAGAGTCTCACTCTGTCACCAGGCACTAGGCTGGAGTGCAGTGGCATAATCTCGGTTCACTGCAACCTCCGCCTCCTGGGTTCAAGCAATTCTCTTGTCTCAGCCTCCCAAGTAGCTGGGACTACAGGCGCACGCCGCCACGCCCAGCTAATTTTTTGTATTTTTAGTAGAGACGGGGTTTCACCATGTTGGCCAGGATGGTCTCGATCTCTTGACCTTGTGATCCGCCCGCCTTGGCCTCCCAAAGTGCTGGGATTACAGGCTTGAGCCACCGCGCCCGGCCAACTTTTGTATTTTTAATAGAGATGGGGTTTCACCATCTTGGCAAGGATGGTCTTGAACTTTTGACCTCTGATGATCTCCACCTCAGCCTCCCAAAGTGCTGGGAATTGTGCCACTGTACCCAGCCCTAAAGTATCTTAATATTTATCCCAAATAACTGGGTTTTAAGTGTTCTTCACACATAATTAATGTAGTAATAAGTATTACCAGATGTCATTGTTAATTCAACTTTTATTATTATTATTGAGCCAAGGTCTTGCTCTATCACCCAGACTGGTGTGATTCTAGCTCACTGTACCCTCAATCTCCTGGGCACTGGCAGTCCTCCCACCTCAGTCTTCCAAGTAGCTGAGACTTACAGGCACATGCCACAGTGACCCACTAATTTTTTATCTTGTGTGTGTGTGTGTGTTTTAAGAGACGGGGTCTCGCTATGTTGCCCAGGCTGGAGTGCAGTGACTGTTCACAAGCATGATCCCACTACTGATCAGCATGGGAGTTTTGACCTGCTCTGTTTCCATCCTGGGTGGTTTCACCCCTCCTTAGGCAACCTGGTGGTCCCCTGCTCCCGGGAGGTTACCATTTTGATGCCGAACTTAGTGTGGATACCTGATCAGCATAGCGCAGTACAGCCCAGAACTCTTGGGCTCAAGCGATCCTCTCACCTCAGCCGCCTGAGTAGCTGGGACTGCAGGCACCTGCCACTGTACCTGGCTTATTATTTTTTATTATTTTTTTGAGGCAGGCTCTGCTGTGTCAGCTGGGCTGGAATGCAGTGACTTGATCTTGTGTCACTGCATCCTAAATTTTCTGGGCCAAGCAATCCTCCCAGTCTCAGCCTCCCAAGTAGCTGGAACTACAGGTGCGTGCCACCGTGCCCAGCTGATTGTTAATGTTTTTTTAGAGACAAGGTCTAACTGTATTGACCAGGTTGGTCTTGAACTCCTGGACTCAAGTGATCCTCCCACTTTAGCCTCCCAAAGTGCTGGGATTACAGGTGTGGGCCACCACACCTGGCCTGTTTTTAAATTTTAATTTATTTTTGGTAAAGACCAAGTCTTAACCATTTTGCCTAAGCTAGTTTTGAATTCCTAGCCTCAAGGGATCCTCCCACCTCTGCCTCCCAAAGTGCTGGGGTTGCAGGCATGAGCTACTGCACCAAATGGGAAAATATTTTTTTAAGATGCTTGTTAATGGAGACTCCTAAAGGTTGTTGACTTCACGGTAGCATTTTCAGCCTAGCTAGTGTTATCATGGGTTAATAAAGATAAATTCGTTGGCAATATAACTTTATTAAGGACAGCCTGATTGTGATAATTGTTTTACTTCTATATCATTTTTGTATGTAAAAAATACCAGCAGATTTGCATAGAGCTTTTTATTATCAAGGAAAGTATATTAATATATAATTGCTAATTGGATGAATGACCAAACTTATATACTAAAATTATCCCAAGATAGATTTTTAGTTCTCACAGACCTAAATAATGTCCTTACGCCAACTTAACCCTCTTTTCACAGATCAGAAAACAAACATTTTTATTATTATAGTTTATAATTTCTTGAAGTTAATCACTACATGACCATTTAATGTAGTTTTTATAATAATTTTTGCTGGGTAGTGGCTTATGCCTGTAGTCCCAGCACTTTGGGAGTCCGAGGCAGGAGGATTGCTTGAGCTCAGGAGTGCAAGACCAGCCTGAGCAACATGGGAAGACCTGATCTCTGCAAAAAAATTAACCAGCCATGGTGGCATGCGCCTGTAGTCCCAGCTGCTCGAGGGGCTGAGATGGGAGAATCTCTTTAGCCTGGGAGGCAGAGGTTACGGTAAGCTGTGATCATGCTGCTGCACTCCAGCCTGGGTGACAGAGCGAGACCCTGTCTCAAGAAAGAAAAAAATTGGCCAGGTGTGGTGGTTCACACCTGTAATCCCAGCACTTTGGGAGGCCAAGGCAGGCAGATCACAAGGTCAGGCATTTGAGACCAGCCTGGCCAACATAGCAAAACGCCATCTCTCCTAAGTATACAAAAAAAATTAGCCAGGCGTGGTGGTGGGTGCCTGTAGTCCCAGCTCGGGAGGCTGAGGCAGAAGAATCACTTGAACCCAGGGGGCAGAGGTTGCAGTGAGCCGAGATCACACCACTGCACTCCAGCCTGGGCAACAGTGAGACTTCGACTCAAAAAAAAAAAAAAAAAAAAAAGAGAAAGAAAAAATTTAATATTAATAAATATTCTAGTTCACTAAGTTTTAGTGTGTTATACTGCACTGAATTCTTTCAGCTGCCTTTCCTTACAGCTGATTGACAGTTGACAAGTCTGATATTGCTCTTGGTGTTCCCATAAAAAGATTTTTCCCTATAAATGTGACTACATCCCCTGTGTTTGAATTTTCTGGATTTATCCTAGTTGTTTTAGGTTGGGACTGTTAACTTGGCAAGTTGAAAGCTCTTAAATTCTTAGGCAAGGTTAGGGCTTAATGTAGAAGTGGAATGACTGTCATTCCCCAACTCTTTGTTAATAGTTCATTAGCACAGAGACCTAAACACTTAAGTGGTTTTTTTTTTTTTTTTTTTTTTTTTTGTATTGAGGAATTTTTATATAAAATGTCATTGAGTCTCAGATGAGATTTTTGGGAAAGAAGGGGTGTTAGTGATCAGGTAAACTTGGGTGACTGCATGGGTTTTGTCTTTGAATATTTATATTATTCTGTACTAGTTTTCCTTACATTAAAAATATGACAGTCATAGAAGCATACTTTTATTCTCCTAGGTGATGGTCTAAATTTGCTTCTGTGGTTGTGGAGGCTAATAGAATGTCATGTTATTCAGCAGTATTTTTGCCCTTGTGTTATCCCTTAATAGAAGAAAAAAAAGTACTCATCTAATAGAGATAGAGTTTAAGATTACAGGTAATTTTGCTGACCCTTTTGAGAACAGTAACAACAAAAGCCTTCTCTTGGTAAATTGATCTTTGACTAAACATTTGACTCACTGTTCCTTAGTCTCCTTAGTCTATCCTTCTAAGTTCCTGATGGTAGCAGGAGAGGGGATGGGATTAGTTTCCTTATGAGCTTCCCTGCCCTTGTTGTCTTTGTTCGTGTGGAAGGTGCAAACAGCTGCTGTGGCTTACGCATTCGTCTTAGTCGCTGCTTTATGTAGTCTACATTTTCATAGTTTTATCTCTCTGAATAACCAAATCATCTGTCACTTAACTATAAACTTTATAGTTATACTTTTTTTCTTTGGATGTGTATTAAATTTAGACGTTTTAGTTTAGTTTTGTTTCTGTTAATCTTCACACCAGGTCTTTTCTGTGCTTTAGGTTGATTCTTCACCACACTGAAACCATTAGGAAAAATCCTTGTGGTTAACAGCAGAGGCTTCAGAGTGTAACCTGTACTCGGGCCTAGAAATTATTTAAAATGGCGACTGATACGTCTCAAGGTGAACTCGTCCATCCTAAGGCACTCCCACTTATAGTAGGAGCTCAGCTGATCCACGCGGACAAGTTAGGTGAGGTAGGGGCTGACACATTCTTGAAGCTCACTCTTGGATCAATCCCTGACTTCAGGCCCTGCTGGGTCCTTCTTGGTACATGTTCCTTCCCTTACTTTGGGGAGTCTAGGTTGTGAATTTGGAAAAAAAATCAGATACAAAGTTATTTTCATCTTCCCTTTCCCCTCAATTCCTGAGAAAACCTCCAACCTTCTAAATTTATAGCAAATCAATTATAATTATGTGATTCTGTTTGAAATTCAAGCTAAAATAACATACTTTAAAAAGTATTTCTTAAAAATCAATTCACTTCAGAAAACTTGTTAAAAGTAATTTGCTTCAGATCCTGGAGTCGACTTGAAGAATTCTCCTACATCTTCTAGCACCCAGTTAGGCCCTTTGAGAAAGAGAGAAAGGAGAATTTTTAAATGCATGTTTGATTATGGCCATCTCTTTTCTCAGAAGGTAGAAGATAGCACCATGCCGATACGTCGAACTGTGAATTCTACTCGGGAAACTCCTCCCAAAAGCAAGCTTGCTGAAGGGGAGGAAGAAAAGCCAGGTAAAGTAAAACGGCGACACCACTTAAAACAGCAAAAGTTTTACTGCAATTTGGAGTGTCCCATAAATTCCTTTGAACTTAATTATTCTTTTTTCATGACTAAGTGTTTTGGGGAAACATCTAGAGAGAGAATCAATAGCTATTGGTATGTCATTGCCAGACCATGTGGGCAAAGTAAGATTTCACTTTCTCTGTAAAGATTTTTGGAAGATGAAATTATTATGTTGGAATTAAAAACAGAAAAATGGTTGGGGATGACAGAAATGGCCAAAGAGTAGCATTCTGGACATAAAGTGTCATGGGGATGAATGCACTGTGGGAGAATGGAAAACATGGGCCTTCAGGGTGGATAGTGGAAGGTTCATCCAGACATCATCTGGAGGCCTTAAGAGAAGGCAAATGGTAATCTGTTGGTCTGTAACAGGTATCGCTAGAGAAAAGATTGGCCAGTCAGTGGTGGGAGCATAACAAATGGAAAGAAACATAGACCCATCAGCATGGAGTACTAGTGTTCCTCCATGGCATCTATAACCACCTCTTCTCCTTTTCCCATCTTTATTTTTCTTCTCAAGATCTTTTGTTTTTTCTTTTTCCCTTTTTTCCTTTCTCTCTTGCCTTTTACCTCAAGTTTTTCAGGGATGAGCACACTGTGCTGCCCCTGTTGTGGCTGTTAGAATCAGTTATTTGCTGACCAGCCTGTATTAGGAATAGAGGGCCAGGCACAGTGGCTCACACCTGTAATCCCAGCACTTTCGGAGGCTGAGGTGGGCAGATCACCTGAGGTCAGAAGTTCAAGACCAGCCTGGCCAACATGGTGAAACCCCGTCTCTACTAAAATTACAAACATTATCTGGGCATGGTGGTGCATGCCTGTAATCCCTGCTACTCGGGAGGCTGGGGCACAAGAATTGCTTGAGCCCAGGAGGTGTAAGTTGCAGTGAGCCAAGATCACACCATTGCACTCTAGGCTAGGCAACAGAGGGAAACTGTCTCCAAAAAAAAAAAAGAGAAGTAGAAAATACATGCATCCCTGTTGCCTGTATCCCTTGGTGGTTGCATCAGGGCAGACATCAAAAACCAGTCAATATACTCTTTTTTTGTCTGAGCCGGGATTTTGTTTCTGAATCCTTGGATGAATGCTATAAACAATTTGGGTATCCTGGCCTAAGGCAGTAAAGAAACATGGGAGGCCGGGCATGGTGGCTCAAGCCTGTAATCCCAGCACTTTGGGAGGCCGAGGCGGGTGGATCACGAGGTCAAGAGATCGAGACCATCCTGGTTAACATGGTGAAACCCCGTCTCTACTAAAAATACAAAAAATTAGCTGGGCATGGTAACGTGTGCCTGTAATCCCAGCTACTCAGGAGGCTGAGGCAGGAGAATTGCCTGAACCCAGGAGGCAGAGGTTGCGGTGAGCCGAGATCGCGCCATTGCACTCCATCCTGGGTAACAAGAGGGAAACTCCGTCTCAAAAAAAAAAAAACATGGGAATCCGAATATTTTAAAAAGTAAACGGGTGCTGGTAAGTGGAAGCTAGATTATCTTGTCCAGCACTGGGATAAGCCACTTGGTCTGTCTTCATCCATGTTTATTTAACAGCCAGCTGAAGCCACTAAATCACTAATAACATCAGTTTTCAGAATACATGCTAGAGGGTTCAGATGCAGAGTATTAGAAAAGTCAGCCAACAGTTTATAAAGAAATAGTGTCAATTGACAAGTTGTATGTTTAATCTCTCTATCCTATTTTGTACACTGTATTTTGTACATAGAAATTAGATTTTATTCATTTTAAATTTTGTAAACTCTACATTTTACACAGAAACAGACACAGTAGCTTAATGAGTTGGAAACAGTGTCTTATACATACAACATATTCAATATCTGTTGAATGACTGAACCTTTATTAAGCCCTAACTCTTAAGCAGTTATTGAGAAGAGAAAATAATGTAAAATTAAATTTATGGGGTGTTTTGTTTTGTTTTGTTTTGTTTTGTTTTTTGAGGTGGAGTTTCACTCTTGTTGCCCAGGCTGGAGTATAATGGCACGATCTCGGCTCACTGCAACTTCCACCTCCTGGGTTCAAGTGATTCTCTTGCCTCAGCCTCCCCAATAGCTGGGATTACAAGCATGCATCACCATGCCTGGCTAATTTTGTATTTTTAGTAGAGGTGGGGTTTCTCCCATGTTTGTCAGGCTGGTCTGGAGTTCCTGACCTCAGATAATCTGCCAGCCCTGGCCTCCCAAAGTGCTGAGATTACAGGGGTGAGCCATCTCGCCCAGCTGTCTTTTGTTTTGTTTTAATGAGACAGAGTCTTACTCTGTCACCCAGGCTGGAGCGTAGTGGCGCTATCTTGGCACACTGCGACCTCTGCCTCCCGGGTTTAAGCGATTCTCCTGCCTCAGCCTCCTGAGTAGCTGAGACTACAGGCGCGTGCCACTATACCTGGCTAATTTTTTGTATTTTTAGTAGAGACGGGGTTTCAGTGTGTTAGGATGGTTTCGATCTCCTGACCTCATGATCTGCCCACCTCAGCCTCCCAAAGTGCTGGGATTACAGGCATGAACCACTGTGCCTATAAGTCTTACTGAAGTAAAACCCAGTGAATGATTCTTAGCTTTTCATCTTTTTTAGAATAAGGTAAAGTATAAATAAACATGACTGACTAATAGTAAATTCTTGCCCATGCAGCCATTTGGGTCAAATTGTTGGGGTAAGGAGCAGTAAAAGATACATCATGGTGGAAGGGGGAGAAAAAAAAAGATACATCATGATGAAAAATACATTTTATTGTGGAAAACTTAAATGCAGTTATTAGCTGTATCCCCACATACCATTGTTATAGTGCAGTTCTATCCATAATACTTTGTGAACCTAAGCTTATGGGAAACAGTTCTAGAAGCAGCAGAGAAGGGCAAAGGAGGACAAGAGTCACTAGCTTAGTATTTAAGTGTTGGCCTACAGGCTTCCCTAAAGCATTTTGTATAATCCTTATAATAACTCTGTGAGATAAGGATACTGAGACTCGAACATCAAAGAACTTTCCTTAAGGTTAGCAAGCTAGAAAGGTACAGAGATTGAACTTGAATCCATATGAGTCTGACCCTAAAACCTCAGTTTTGGCTGAACAGATATATGAGGAGTTTGATTAGTCTAATCTATGCAGTTTTACTTGAAGAGCATAATCTGGGACAGGATTTACAAATTGTAGTTAACTGTTCTGAGATTTATGGTTTAGAATTTTAATTAGTTGAAAATCTGAAAATTCCTTTAGAGTTGTACTTACGTGATTTGATTGGCATTTTAAAATTTCTCGTTTATGTGAAGCCCACAAAGAAGTCCTTATCATTAGTCCAATAATTAATTCACATAATTTAAATGATCAGATTCTTTAAGCATATACTTTGGCTTGAAGTATATGCTTGCCACTGGAGTCCTTTTTCTTTTGTGTTTGTTTGTTTTGTTTTTTCTTTTGGAGTCCTCTGAAGTCCCTGCATAACCAGTGCCTGGGATTCTGTGTTTTATAGCAGTTGCTCAAAGAGACATGCTATGGGCCGGGCACGGTGGCTCACGTCTGTAATCCCAGCACTTTGGGAGGCCGAGGCGGGTGGATCACGAGGTCGAGAGATCGAGACCATCCTGGTCAACATGGTGAAACCCTGTCTCTACTAAAAATACAAAAAATTAGCTGGGCATGGTGGCATGTGCCTGTAATCCCAGCTACTCAGGAAGCTGAGGCAGGAGAATTGCCTGAACCCAGGAGGCAGAGGTTGCGGTGAGCCGAGATCGCGCCATTGCACTCCAGCCTGGGTAACAAGAGTGAAACTCCGTCTCAAAAAAAAAAAAAAAGAGAGACATGCTATGAAGGAAAGGCACAGATAACAAGCAGACCTCCATGTTCCCCCTCTCATATTTCTACTTGTTTCAGTCATTCCTCTTGGAAAATACATGAGGTTTTTATTATTTACTCTCTGGGATTTGCCTGTTAAATTATAAAATGGTGGGTTTCTCAATTGTGAGTCTCATCAATATTGCAGAGTAGAATAATTAAACGATTTGGGATGAAATGAGTTTCCTTTCTATGTAATTTCCTGGTTTATCTATTTTTCTTGTAATAACCGCCTGACTGGCAGCTTGAGTGACATGAAGAATGTAAGAAAACTCCATTAGTGGTCATTTGTTTTTATTTTAGAATTTGTTAATTGGAAACTTTGGCTGGTCTGTTTAATAAGGTAAACTTTTGCCCTTTTATTGACTCAGATTTGAATACATCTGCTTATGCACTTCTGCTCACCTGATTTTTTAGAACCAGATGTAAGTTCAGAGGAATCTGTCTCCACTGTAGAGGAACAAGAGAATGAAACGCCACCTGCCACTTCAAGTGAGGCAGAGCAGCCAAAGGGTGAACCTGAGAATGAAGAGAAGGAAGAAAATAAGTCTTCTGAGGAAACCAAAAAGGAGTAAGGAGTTATGTCTTCTTGTTATTTATATTTGAAGAGTGTGTAAAGACTATGGATCAGATTGTTTTAAAGTGTTGCAACATTGGCTTATGCTAGGTGTTTGCTATTTGGATTTAATTTTTAGAATTACCATTTGAAATAGGCTTATTATATAATTGTATGACCTGCTAGAATTTGCTGTAGTTAGCAGAACACTATGGTTTGAGTAATCCAGATGTGTTTCTCTTTGGCTTTGGAATGTGTTTTAGAGCTTATAATTTATTGTGGAGTGTATCTGATATTTTAAGCATTGGCAACACTTCAGTAAGAAATGAAAATAACTATAAAATCTGACCTAGAAGACATTTCACTATTTTATTCCTATCTCTGTGCCAGGAGTGGATTGGTTTTGTGTGCTTTCATTAGAAGGCATTAATCTGTATCAAGCTATTGCTAGTGTGACCTAAAAGTCTATATACGTTTGCTGAAGTAGTCAATTGAAGAATTGACTTTGAGAATCTGAAAGTAAAATTTGCCACTGATGTGTATCTATATAAGGTGATGGCAGTTACTTTTTAATTTTAATTTTAATTTTTTTTTTTGCAGGAGAGCTGGTAGTAATTATTCTACTCTTTTTTCATAATTGGTCAGAACAGTTAGAAATTACTTTTAAATATGATCATGCATTGCTTAACAATGGGTATACATTCTGAGAGATGCATTTTTAGGCAATTTCATCATCGTGCCAACATCATCAAGTGTACTTATGCAAACCTACATGGTACAGCTTACTGCATACCTAGGCTTTATGGGCTAGTTCGTTGTTCCTAGGCTACAAACCTTTATAGCATGTTACTGTACGCAATTATAATACAATGGTAAGTATTTGTGTATTTAAACATAGAAAAGGTACAGTAAAAATACAATATAAAAGATAAAAAATGATATACCTGTATAGGATACTTACCATGAATGGACCTTATAGGATTGGAAGTTGTTCGGGTGAACTAGTGGTAAGTGAATGGAAAGGCCTAGGGTGTTATTGTGTTCAACTGTAGACTTTATAAACATTGTATGCTTAAGCTACACTAAATTTATTAAAAGATCTTTTTATTTCAATAATAAACCTTACCTTACTGTAACTTTGTTTTAGTTTTTTTAACTTTTTGACTCCTGTCAAAAGTTTAAAACACAAACACATTACACAGCTGTACAAAAAGTATTTTTTAATTGTTATTTTATAAGCTTTTTTCTGTGTAAAAAATGGTAGATATTTTTTTCTTTTTAAAAACAGGGTTTCACCATTTTGGTAAGGCTGGTCTTGAACTCCCGACTTCAGGTGATCCATCCACCTTGGCCTCCAAAGTGCTTGGATTACAGGCGTGAGCCACCACGCCCAGCCCTAAAAATTTTTTATTTTAAAAAAACGTTTAAATTTTATTAAAAATGAAGACGCAAGCCATATGCAGTGGTGCACACCTGTAGCCCTGTCTACTTAGGAAGTCAAGGTGGGAGGATTGCTCGAGCCCTGAAATTTGAGTCTAGGTTAGGCAACATCATGAGACCTCATATCTATAGAAAAAACAAAACTAGGACACAAACACACACCTTAACCTACGCCTGCACGGTGTCAGGGTCATCAGTATCACTGTCTTCTACCTCCAGATCTTGTCCCACTGGGAGGCCTTCAGGAGCAGTAATATGCATGGACCTGTCATCTCCTATGATAACAGCGCTGTCTTTTGGATAGCATTGTTCTGAAAGACCTGATTGAGTCTTTTTTACAGTTAACTTTTATTTTTTTAGATAGAAAGCATGTACTCTAATAATAAAAAGTATAGTAAACACATTAACTAGCAGTATAGCCATTTATCATTATTATTATTATGTATTATATATAATTGTAATGTGCTACTTTGTTTTTTTTTTTTTTTGAGGTGGAGTCCCACTAAGTTGCCAGGCTGGAGTGCAGTGGCATGAACTCAGCTCACTGCAACCTCCGCCTCCCGGGTTCAAGCAATTCCCCTACTTCAGCCTCCCAAGTAGCTGGGATTACAGGTGCACACCACCATGTGCAGCTAATTTTTGTATTTTTAGTAGAGATGGGGTTTCACCATGTTGGCCAGGATAGTCTCGATCTCTTGACCTCATGATCCACCCACCTCAGCCTCCCAAAGTGCTGGGATTACAGGCATGAGCCACCACACCTGGCCAGTGTGCTATATTTTTATATGCCTGGCAGCACAGTAAGTTTGTTTATACCAATGTCACCACAAATAAGTGAGTAATGTGTTGCGCTGTGATATTACCACAGCTATCATGTTAACCAGGTAATAGGAGGTTTTCATTTCCTTTATAATCTTGAGACCACCATTGTATATTTGGTCTGTGGACTAAAATGTCGTTATGCAGCACATAACCATAAAAGAATAACTTAGTAATAACTATACCTTCTGGGTATAATCTTCAGGGTATTCCTTTTTTTTTTTTGGAGACGGAGTTTTACTCTTGTTACCCAAGCTGGAGTGCAATGGCGTGATCTCGGCTCACCGCAATCTCCACCTCCTGGGTTCAGGCAATTCTTCTGCCTCAGTCTCCTGAGTAGCTGGGATTACAGGCACACGCCACCATGCCCAGCTAATTTTTTGTATTTTTAGTAGAGACGGGGTTTCACCATGTTGACCAGGATGGTCTCGATCTCTTGACCTCATGATCCACCCGCCTCGGCCTCCCGAAGTGCAGGGATTACAGGCATCAGCCACCGTGACCGGCCCAGGGTATTCTTTATCTGAGTTTCATAGATACAGTTAAGCATGTGTGTGTGTATTTTTAATAGAGATGGCGTCTCACTATGTTAGCCAGGTCGGGCTTAAACTCCTAGCTTCAGGCAGTTCTCCAGCCTCAGACCCCCAAATTGCTGGGATTACAGGCATGAGCCACTGCACCCAGCCTATCCTGTATTTTTAAATCTTCTAAAATCTTTTAATGCATATATTAGGTGCACAGAGTACTGTTATATACTCAGAATAAAATTTATAAAGCTCATAAAATTGCTTTGACAAACATACTGTTACAACTCTTGCAGCACCTTGGGAAGTAGTTGGTTTTATATTACTATTTTATAGCTGAGGAGATTGAGACTCACATCATTTACTAAGATCATATAGCTAGCTAGTAAATGTTTGAGTGAAAATGCAAACAAAGGTTTTCTGACTTAAGAGCTTGAAATTTTTCCACTATACCAAATTGCATCTCTTGCAGTTGTTAACAAATACGCATTTTTAAATTCTCATTTATTTTGCTTATACCAGTGCTAATTTATGTGACTCCTCTCTTCTGCACCTAAGAGAAAAATACCTTTTTAATTCATTTATAGTACCCAGTTTTTAAAGAGTTATTTTGTAAAATTTTGCTTATTGTGCATACCACCTTAGCCTATAAATAAATTAAAGCATTAATTTTTATTTCTTCTGGTCTTTTTCTCTTTCTGACTTTATACATCTTTCTGGAGAGTTTATCTTCTATGATAACAATTCTTTGTTTTAAAGTGAGAAAGATCAATCTAAAGAAAAGGAGAAGAAAGTGAAAAAAACAATTCCTTCCTGGGCTACCCTTTCTGCCAGCCAGCTAGCCAGGGCCCAGAAACAAACACCGATGGCTTCTTCCCCACGTCCCAAGATGGATGCAATCTTAACTGAGGCCATTAAGGCAAGTTTTTATTTCAAGCAATTTATCTTAGATTTATTATGTTCAGTTTTTTCTTATTTGGAAATGACATACTTCTGTCTAGACATCATAAATCTTGCTCTGCTTCCTAAAGGAGTTTTAAAGAGAGGGAAGTTATTATGTGTTCATGTTTTTCTAATGTAATCACATTTGGTGAACACTTAATTTTTTAAAAAATGTATACTTTTGCAAATATTTTTAACTTTAGAATTTTTAAATTCAGTTTATTGAGTAAATATAGTTTTTATTCGAAGGCTGAAAATACTAATTCATTCAAATGTTAATTCATTCAACAATCATTTAAGGACTGCCTTCCCTCTGTCGGATACCCCTGCTGGTGGTATAGAATTAATCAAGGCTAGCAAAGACCTTGTCCTTATAAATCTAATTGTTACTCAGTAACTCAAAAATGTTGAGAATTTTTGGTTAAAAAAAATCTCTAAGTTCATTTGTAAAGCTAAGTGTCTGATCTTGGTAGTGGTTTTCTTTCATACCTGAACCCTGTTACAAACACTGCTTTATCACCTAGACATTCCAAAATGCTTACAAAAATTATTCTCCTTATGATTTGCTGTAATCCATTGACCTTTCATCAGGAAAAAATCGCTATTTAAAGATGATCTTCTAATCTGACATTGCCTTTATTGTATAAGTCTTTTCACTTAATTTTCCTTTGTTTAGTTCACATGATGAGATGATATAAGGAGTTAGAACAAACCCATCTTTCAGGGACCCATTGTTAGGGTCTGAGGCAAGATTAGGAAGGCAGGGATACAGATAATTTTAACCAGAAAAAGGAAGGTGTGTATAAAAAGGAGCAGCCTCTTTGTCATTCTCAGAATGCAAGAAGATAGCACTAACACATAAACTTTAAAAGGGGTTTGCCTTCAGACCTCTTCCGCTACTCCTTCAAGACTTCTTATGCTCTCACCTCATTAAGAAAACTTCATTGGTCTAGATCACCTGACTGTAGTGAAATCTCTGGTTTGTATAGCCTCTCTTCAAGGATTTCGTTTGGTGATCGGTCAGCCTGGGTTTGAAGTAGCAGCATCATAGTGAGGATGTAAAAGGTACTAAAACTTTAAAATAGTGAAACAAAAAATTAAAACAGTATCAATTTGGCTTAAAGAATGGTTTGAATATGATTGTGCGTTATTTATACAGATGATGTATATATATGGATAATGTGTATTCCATGCAGTATGTCAAATTATTGTTTCAGACCACAAATACGGTTTTCTGTATCAAACAAATCATGATGTCTACTTCCATCTCACTGTCAGATTGGTGGAGCAAAAGATTATTTGTTTGAGCATTGGGGTTCTTTTCTGCTTGGTTTTCTTTGCTTTGTGTTTTCTTATAAGATCAAGAGTAAAAATCAATAGGTCATTAATAATAGTGCAGAGACGTAGACTTGAATTATATGATCCACATTAATACAACTTGTTTTGTGTTGTACAATCTATTCTGGACTGTTACTAAAAATAACCTGTGAGTTATTTTTCTTTGTTGTCAAAATGTATAAAAACATCAACAAAATTTTTATCCAGTGAGAGTAAGTTCATTTAATAGACAACATGGCAGTACAGAATTGATGGACTGGCCCATTAAATGACAGATGCTACTTCTGTGTGCTTCAAAATGTAAAGTGTTTGATTTGATGACAATGACCAGTTGGAAAACAGAATTTTAAGCATTTGAAAAAAATATTTACTGCCTTTGTAATTCTTTGAGTTGCATTAGTCAAATGGAGGATGCGTAAAATAGGATGGAAATGGAAGAGGGCACATTAAATTCAAATAGAATACCTTCACTATTACCCAAAACTCTCCTTCAGGACTTTGCCATCTGTAAACCGATTTTTATGCCATTTGTTCATATTGTCTTGATTCTTCTCTCTGCTGACATTCATATGAAGCAGGCCTCCCCAAACTCTTTACACAGGGGGCCAGTTCACTGTCCCTCAGACCGTTGGAGGGCCGCCACATACTGTGCTCTTCTCACTGACCACCAATGAAAGAGGTGCCCCTTCCTGAGGTGCGGCGGGGGGCCGGATAAATGGCCTCAGGGGGCCACATGCGGCCCGTGGGCCGCAGTTTGGGGACGCCTGATATAAAGCCTTCAGGGAAATATTGATCCTGGCATGCTCATTTCTTAAGCTTATACCTTAAAATGGACCAGATCTGTGATCCTGTAATTCAGGCGTCCCCAAACTATGGCCCAAGGGCCGCATGCGGTCCCCTGAGGCCATCTATCCGGCCCCCTGCCGCACTTCAGGAAGGGGCACCTCTTTCATTGGTGGTCAGTGAGAGGAGCACAGTATGTGACGGCCCTCCAATGGTCTGAGGGACAGTGAACTGGCCCCCTGTGTAAAAAGTTTGGGGACGCCTGCTGTAATTGATAGGTTTGTTCTGCTTCTCTCATTTTGATGCCAGAGATCTGTCTTCTAAATATAGAATGGAATTAAAATGGAAAGAGGTTCTTTGTTATATATAGAATGTTCATGTTTAGTATATGGTCTTTCAGGCTGTTTTGAACAATTTAAATTTGTAGCAGAAATATTAGTAATTCTGTTATATCTCCACAGCCATTATAAATTGAAGTCTTCTGAAGTTCATTCTTCCCTACCATTTTTATCATCCATTATTAAGTTCACTTCCAAAATAATTTATTTTGAAAGTATATGTCAGACTCTGTATCTAATAAAAAACAACTGATTTAATGTATATGGTTTGATAAATTTTTTCTAGGCTTGCTTCCAGAAGAGTGGTGCATCAGTAGTTGCTATTCGAAAATACATCATCCATAAGTATCCTTCTCTGGAGCTGGAGAGAAGGGGTTATCTCCTTAAACAAGCACTGAAAAGAGAATTAAATAGAGGAGTCATCAAACAGGTATTACACAGTTGTTAGTAATAAGATCATGTCATTGTGTATTGGCTTTAAGTCTATAGTTAGTAACATATAGGCTTTTTGTGTCTTTTTTGTTAAAAATAGGTTGTATGATGATGAAATTGCTTAAGTTTAACCTGTTTGAATTATCTGAGGCTAGGTTTTGAAAACGTTGGTGCCATTAAGATAGTGTAAGTTTTTTCTAGCTTACTTTGCTCTTAATTGAATTTTCCTTTGGGGACTGCTTGCGCTTGAAATTATGTAGCACCGAACATGAAAAGAGGTAAGGAATCCTACTACTGAAACAGCAGAAATGGGGCTAAGCATGTTGGCTTACGCCTGTAGTCCCAGCACTTTTGGAGGCTGAGTTGGGAGGATCACTTGAGCCCAGGAGTTTGAAACCAGCCTGGGCAATGTAGCAAAACCCCTTCTCTACAAAAAAATACAAAATAGCAGGATGTGGTGGCATGTGCCAGTCCACCCTATGTATAGCCCCAGCTACTCGGGAGGCAGAGGCAGGTGAACCGCTTGAGCCTGGGAAGCTCAAGACTATAGTAAGCTAGGATCTCACCATTCCAGCCTCAGTAAAAGTGAGACCCTGTCTGAAAAAAAAAAAAAAATAGCAAATATGATAATTGCCCTTGTCTTAGGTTTGTTTCCTTTAAAGTCTAACTTATATGCTAGATTTCTTACTATTAATTTTTAGCTTTGCAAATATGCTTACCCTAGTTGATTAGTATCTAAACTATTAAAGCCTGTTAGGAGTATCAGAGAAGCCTGAGTGAAATGTGACTAGTAGTGGAACCAATGTTGATTTCAGGCATAAATCCACTTTACCTTGCATAGTGCATGGAGGTTTAGAACCGTAGAAATCTTAAGCTAGAATGAACTTTATCTTATGTTACACTCTTCAGAAGTCCAGAGTGATGAGATAACTAACTACTGATACATCATGGTAGTAGCAAAGATTTTTAAAATCTAGTTCACCACATTCCTAGAGTCTTGTTGCCTTTTTTCTATGCCTCCCTGCCTGTTTGATCAGTATAGAATTCTGTGCCACTTAGGCATATAAACTCTGCTTAGGGACTTTCAACTAGTACTTAATTCCACAAATAACGTCTTGTCTCCTATGTGCCAGTTGCCTGGATGTCTGTCAGTGAATAAAACATATTCTTGCTGTGTGGAGCTTAGAGTCTGGCTTTTTCAAAATGTAAAACTGATAATTAAACAGCCTTTAAAATTGTCACTGATAGCGTGGTGCAGTGGCTCATGCCTGTAATCCCAGCACTCTGGGAAGCTGAAGTGGGAGGGTTGCTTCATGCCAGGAGTTTGAGACCAGCCTTGGCAACACAGCGAGGTGAGGCACTGTCTCTACAAAAAAAAATTACTTCTTTATTGTATTTTATTTTACTTTTTGAGGCAGGATCTCACTTTGGCCGAGGCTGGGGTGCAGAGGTGCAATCTTGGCTCACTGCAACCTCTACCCACTGGGCTCCAGTGGTCCTTCCACCTGGGCTTCCCAAGTATGTGGGACTAGGTGTGCACCACCACACCCAGTTAATTTTTGTATTCTTTGTGGAGACAAGGTTTTGCCATGTTGCCCAGGCTGGTCTCTAGCTCTTGGACCCAAGTGATTCATCTGCCTCAGCCTCCCAAAGTGCTGAGATTACATATATGAGCCACCACTCCCAGCCTTTACAAAAAATTTAAAAATTAGCCAAATGTAGGGGTGCATGCCTGTAGTCCCAACTCAGGAGGCTGAGGCAGGAGGATCACTTGAGTTGAGGCTGCAATGAGCTATGGTTATGCCACTGCACTCCACCATGTATGACACAGAAAGACCCTGTCTCTAAAATAAAACAAAATGATCATTGATTAAAAGGTCTTACCTAGTTAGTATAATTATTAGAGCCAAGGACTTATCCTATAACACAGTATATGTCAGCATAGCTTATGCGATAGCCTCATGTTTTAGTTTATGACCTGTTCTAGCCTACATAGCCTGACCACCCTGTTTGATGCTTAAACAACTCTTAATAGGCTCAAAGCATTTCAGCTTGATTGCTACATTGATAGCAGTGTGGGTAAAATTAAGCTGTGGAGTACTTTGACTATTGTGAATCAACATTTTTTTTTTTTTTTTTTTTTTTGAGATGAAGTCTCCCTCTGTTACCCAAGCTGGAGTACAGTGGCGTGATACCATCTCATTATACTCTGCCTCCCGTGTTCAAACATTTCTCCTGCCTTAGCCTCCTGAGTAGCTGGGATTACAGGTACCTGCCACCTTACCTGGCTAATTTTTTGTATTTTTAGTGGAGATAGGGTTGCACTTTGTTGGTCAGGCTGGTCTCAGACTCTTGACCTCAAGTCATTTGCCCACCTTGGCCTCCCCAAGTGCTGGGATTGCAGGAATGAACCACCGCTGGCCTATTGTGAATCAACTTTAAAACTTTATGAAAGTGCTTGTGAACTGGAAATATGTGGCAAAACTTACATACCTTTTTGTGCAGTGTCTAGAAAATTGTTAGATAACCTTTCCCATAAGGAATAATGTGTCCCTGGTAAACTGGGAAATCACGTGGCCTAAGACTAAATAGGCTCTAAACTTTTTCCAAGGAGCTTTTAAAGACAGTGAGGACTAGGCTGGACGTGGTGGCTCACACCTATAATTTCAGCACTTTGGGAGGCCGAGGCGGGTGGATCACGAGGTCAAGAGATCGAGACCATCCTGGTCAACAAGGTGAAACCCCATCTCTACTAAAAATACAAAAATTAGGCCGGGCGCGGTGGCTCAAGCCTGTAATCCCAGCACTTTGGGAGGCCGAGGCGGGTGGATCACGAGGTCGAGAGATCGAGACCATCCTGGTCAACATGGTGAAACCCTGTCTCTACTAGAAATACAAAAAAAAGTCAGAGTTCAACAGCAGGTTTCCAAGATGCCGCCCAAAGGAAAAAGTGGTTCTGGAAAAGCGGGGAAAGGGGGAGCAGCCTCTGGGAGTGACAGTGCTGACAAGAAGGCTCAAGGTCCCAAAGGTGGTGGCAATGCAGTAAAGGTCAGACACATTCTATGTGAAAAACATGGCAAAATCATGGAAGCCATGGAAAAGTTAAAGTCTGGGATGAGATTCAATGAAGTGGCTGCACAATATAGTGAAGATAAAGCCAGGCAAGGGGGCGACTTGGGTTGGATGACCAGAGGGTCCATGGTGGGACCATTTCAAGAAGCAGCATTTGCCTTGCCTGTAAGTGGGATGGATAAGCCTGTGTTTACAGACCCACCAGTTAAGACAAAATTTGGATATCATATTATGGTTGAAGGAAGAAAATAAAATCATATGAAAGACTGAAAAAAAAAAAAAAAAAAAAAAAACTAGCTGGGCATGGTGGCACGTGCCTGTAATCCCAGCTACTCAGGAGGCTGAGGCAGGAGAATTGCCTGAGCCCAGGAGGCGGAGGTTGCGGTGAGCCGAGATCGCGCCATTGCACTCCAGCCTGGGTAACGAGCGAAACTCCGTCTCAAAAAAAAAAAAAAAAAAATTAGCTGGGCATGGTGGCACGTGCCTGTAGTCCAGCTACTCAGGAGGCTGAGGCAGGAGAATTGCTTGAAACTAGGAGGCGGAGGTTGCGGTGAGCTGACATCGTGCCATTGCACTCCAGCCTGGGTAACAAGAGCAAAACTCCGTCTCAAGAAAAAAGAAAAAATCACGAGGTCAAGAGATCAAGACCATCCTGGTCAACATGGTGAAACCCCGTCTCTACTAAAAATACAAAAAATTAGCTGGGCATGGTGGTGTGTGCCTGTAATCCCAGCTACTCAGGAGGCTGAGGCAGGAGAATTGCCTGAACCCAGGAGGCGGAGGTTGCGGTGAGCCGAGATCGCGCCATTGCACTCCAGCCTGGGTAACAAGAGTGAAACTCCGCCTCAAAAAAAGAAAAAAAAAAAAGAAAAAAAAAAGACAGTGAAGCCTTTTCTTATTTTTCTCAGAGATTATGTCCCTTCCTTCTGTGTGACATTTTTGCTTTTTTAATTTTGTTGTGAAAGTTTTGTTTTTTTTTTTTTTTTTTTGAGATGGAGTCTTGCTCTGTCACCCAGGCTATAAGTGCAGTGGTGTGATCTCAGCTCACTGCAACCTCTACTTCGCGGGTTCAAGCAATTCTCCTGCCTCAGCTTCCTGAGTAGCTGGGACTACAGGCGCCCACCACCACACCCAGCTAAATTTTTTGTATTTTTAGTAGAGATGGGGTTTCATTATGTTGGCCAGGCTGGTCTTGAACTGACCTTGAGATCCGCCTGCCTCAACCTCCCGTAGTGCTGGGATTACAGGCATGAGCCACTGTGCCTAGCCTTGTTTGAAAGTTTTTAATAGATTAACCTGGTATCACAATAACGGTCTTCTCAAAGTTTTGTGGATGAGAAAACAAAAGCTCAGAGCCTTAACTGGATTGTCCAGTATTGCTAAGCATCAGCTAGTTGGTACTGTAAAGGAGCTTTCATCTGAAATCTTTGGACTCTTGACTGTCTGCTCTTTCTTCTCTGAAGAATTAAACAGCACTTTATATTGGCTCTTGCAGCACTGTCATTTCCTTAGCCTATCATATAGTTATGAATACTAGAATAACAAAATAAAAATTACTTTACTTTAGGTTAAAGGAAAAGGTGCTTCTGGAAGTTTTGTTGTGGTTCAGAAATCAAGAAAAACACCTCCGAAATCCAGAAACAGAAAGGTAAGACATCTGTACCACAGTTTGAGTGCTGTGGAGCTGTTACTGATACTAAAAATAGCAACACTCATTGAGTGTTTGCTATGTGTCTGGCACTATGCAAAGTTCAGCCTTTCTGCTAAGATCTAGAGAGGTTATAAATAATTTGTTCATTTAGTCAGTAGAACAGCCAGGATGCAGATCTAAGCAGTCCAACCTGGTTAAGCCTATGCTCTTAAGTGCCTTACATTAAATTATGAGCAGCTATATGAATTATACTCCTTTTTGTGAAATATCTTTTAAACTAGAAGAGAGTACTTAATTTTTTTTTTTTTAAGATGTAATCTTACTCTGTTTCCCAGGCTGGAGTGCAGTGGCATTATCTTGGCTTGCTGCCACTTCCGCCTCCTGGATTCAAGTGATTTTCCTGCCTCAGCCTCCCAGTAGCTAGGACTACTACAGGCATGTGTTACCACGCCCAGCTAATGTTTGTATTTTTATACAGAAGGAATTTCACTCTCTTGACCAGGCTGGTCTCCCAACTCCTGGCCTTAGGTGATCCACCTGCCTCGGCCTCCCAGAGTGCTGGGATTATAGGCGTGAGCCACTGGTGCCCAACCTAAAAGTACATTTTTACCTAATACTAGACCCCAAAACTGCACCCAGATCCAGTTTTTCTTCCTGTTTGTATAAATACTAACATTCTTCTCCCAACACATTAACTTCATTTGTGTAAAATATTCCTGCAGTAATCAAGTGAAATGTCTTGTACTCATATCAGAAATTGAAATAATATTTTTCTACACTTTTTTTTAATAACTCTGAAGCTTTTAATCCTTTTTTTTTTTTTTTTTGAGACGGGAGTTTCGCTCTTGTTACCCAGGCTGGAGTGCAATGGCGCAATCTCGGCTCACCGCAACCTCCGCTTCCTAGATTCAGGCAATTCTCCTGGCTCAGCCTCCTGAGTAGCTGGGATTACAGGCACGTGCCACCATGCCCAGCTAATTTTTTTGTATTTTTAGTAGAGACGGGGTTTCACCATGTTGACCGGGATGGTCTCGATCTCTTGACCTTGTGATCCACCCGCCTCGGCCTCCCAAAGTGCTGGGATTACAGGCTTGAGCCACCGCGCCCGGCTTTAATCCTTTTTTGATAGACTTTGCAAACACTTTCTTTTTTTTTCTTTTTTGAGATAGAGTCTTGCTCTGTTGCCCAGGCTGGAGTACAATGATGTGATCTCTGCTCACTGACTTACAGATTCAAATGATTCTCCTGCCTCAGCCTCCTGAGTTGCTGGGATTACAGGCATGTGCCACCATGCCCAGCTAATTTTTGTATTTTTAGTAGAGGTCTTTCTCTGTTGGTCAGGCTGGTCTCAAACTTCTGACCTCGTGATCTGCCTGCCTCGGCCTCCCAAAGTGCTGGGATTACAGGCATGAGCCATCCTGGCCGGCCCAAAACACTTTCAAAATGAACTATACGTATTTCTTTGTTATTGAAGGCCAAAAATAAATTAGGACTTTTAAAGTCTGCATTCCTTTTTTGGCCTTGCTGCCCGAGCTGTAGTGCAGTGGCATAATCTTGGTTCACTGAAACCTCCTCTTTCCGGGTTCAAGCGATTCTCCTGCCTCAGCCTCATGAGCAGCTAGGATTACAGGCACATGCCACCATGCCTGGCTAATTTCATATTCTTAGTAGAGACAGGGTTCCACCATTTTGGCCATACTGGTCTCAAACTTATGACCTCAGGTGATCCACCCTCCTTGGTCTCCTAAGTTTCCGGGATTACAGGCATGAGCCACTACGCCCAGCTGTTTTTTCTTTTCGTTTCTTTTTTTTTTTTTGGTTTGTTTGTTTTTGTTTTTTGAGATGGAATCTTCCTCTGTCATCCAAGCTGGAGTAGTATGGTGGCTCCATCTTGGCTCACTGCAACCTCCACCTCCTGGGTTCAAGAATTTCTTGTGCCTTAGCCTCCCAAGTAGCTGGGCTTACAAGCGCTCGCTACCACACTTGGCTAATGTTTGTATTTTTAGTAGAGAGGGTTTCACCATGTTGGCCAGGCTGATCTTGAACTCTGACCTCAAGTGATCTATCTACCTTGGCCTCCCAAAAGTTCTGGGATTACAGATGTGAGCCACCACACCCAGCTTTTATATGTATTTTTAATGGTCTCAAGTAAAAAGTTTAATCAGCTAAGGAAAGCCCTTGAGTTATATGTAGAAACATTTATATTGTGTAATGATCATAATTTTTGATATTACATTTCAGAATAGGAGCTCTGCAGTGGATCCAGAACCACAAGTAAAATTGGAGGATGTCCTCCCACTGGCCTTTACTCGCCTTTGTGAACCTAAAGAAGCTTCCTACAGTCTCATCAGGAAATATGTGTCTCAGTATTATCCTAAGCTTAGAGTGGACATCAGGTATGAGCCATTGACCTGGACTTTAAAACATGGTGTATTACTTCCTTTAGCTCCCTTTTCATGAGAAAGGAGATAAATTATACTGAAGAAGGATTACTTTTAGCTAAGAAGAAACCTTTTTTGTTGGTTTTATTTTTTTGCCTTGTTATGTTTTTCTTTTCATGTCTTCATATGGGTTTTTTTTGTTTTTTTTGTTTTTTTTTTTTTTTTTTTTTTAGACAGAGCTTTGCTCTTGTCACCCAGACTGGAATGCAGTCTGGCTCACTGCAACTTCCGCCTCCAGGTAGCTGGGACCCCAGATGCCTGCCACCACGCCCAGCTAATTTTTATTTTTAGTAGAGCTGAGGTTTCACCATGTTGGCCAGGCTGGCTCAAATGCCTGAACTCAAGTGATCCACCGTCCTTGGCCTCCCAAAATTGCTGGTATTACAAGCATGAGCCACTGTGCCTGGCCTTTTTTTTTTTTTTTTTTTTTTTTTTAATGACATATCACTTTTGTTGCCTAGGCTGGAGTGCATTGCATAATCTTGGCTCACTGCAGCCTTCACCTCCCAGATTCAAGCAATTCTCCTGCCTCAGCTTCCCAAATAGCTGGGGACTATACGCATCTACCATCATTCCTGGCCTTTTTTTTTTTTTTTTTAACCCAAATCTTAATGTTCCTTTTTAAGATCCTGGTAGAGAAACCCTATTAATGTTGTCAGCTGTTAAGATAATTAATATTGAACTCTGTGTTTTCTCAGATACTAAATATCTTAACAGCTGACAACATTAAAAGAGTTACTCTACCAGGGTTTCAAAAAAAAAAAATGAGGCTGGGTATGGTGGCAGGCACCTATAGTCCCAGCTACTCGGGGAGCTGAGGCAGGAAAATCGATTGAACCCAGGAGGTGGAGTTTGCAGTGAGCTAAGATTGTACTATTGCACTCCAGTCTGGGGACCAAGAGTGAGATTCCATCTCAAAAAAGAAAACATAAAAGTAAAAAGGAGTATAGACTTTAAAGGTCCAAATTTATTCTTAGCCTTCAGTAACAAAGAATGAAGTCCAGCACCAGAAAGTAATGCATAAGGTTCATTTCGAAAGTGTTTGAAAAATTGGAAAAAAAAGACAAAAAGCTACAGTTGTTAAAAAAAAAAGTGTAGAAATGTGCCGTGCACGGTGGCTCAAGCCTGTAATCCCAGCACTTTGGGAGGCCGAGGTGGGTGGATCACGAGGTCGAGAGATCGAGACCATCCTGGTCAACATGGTGAAACCCCGTCTCTACTAAAAGTGCAAAAAATTAGCTGGGCATGGTGCCACGTGCCTGTAATCCCAGCTACTCAGGAGGCTGAGGCAGGAGGATTGCCTGAGCCCAGGAGGCGGAGGTTGCGGTGAGCCGAGATCGCGCCATTGCACTCCAGCCTGGGTAACAAGGGCGAAACTCTGTCTCAAAAAAAAAAAAGTATAGAAAAATGCTTTTTCAATTTCTGATAAAAATGAGCATAAAGCCGGGCGCGGTGGCTCAAGCCTGTAAATCCTAGTACTTTGGGAGGCCGAGGCGGGTGGATCACGAGGTCAAGAGATCGAGACCATCCCGGTCAACATGGTGAAACCCCGTCTCTACTAAAAATACAAAAAATTAGCTGGGCATGGTGGTGCGTGCCTGTAATCCCAGCTACTCAGGAGGCTGAGACAGTAGAATTGCCTAAACCCAGGAAGCGGAGGTTGCGGTGAGCTGAGATCGCGCCATTGCACTCCAGCCTGGGTAACAAGAGCGAAACTCTGTCTCAAAAAAAAAAAAAAAATAGCATAAGACATTTCATTTTATTGTAGAAATACTTTACACAAATGAAATTATATTTGTTGGAGAGAAGAATGTTAGTATTTACAAAAACAAAAAGAAAAATTGGATCTGGGTACAGTTTTGGGGTCTAGTATTAGATAAAAATGTACTTTTAGGCTGAGCACGGTGGCTCACGCCTATAATCCTAGCACTCCCAAAAGAGTGCGATTCCATCTCAAAAAACAAAACATTATATATACATATGTGATCTATACTTATATACATATAAACATAATATATATGTCGTGAGAATCCAGGCTTCAGTAACATCTGTACACAGAGATAGCATAATGTCTTCATCATTTACACATGCAGCATGAAATTCTGAGATAATTTTGTTAGTAATTCTTCTGTAAAATTTGCCACTTAACGTCTTGACAGATCATTTAGATTGTCACATTTGCTCAATTCTAGATTTATACAGATATATCAATTTGTTTAAATTTGTAATTCGTAGACTTTGAGGGTGTTTGTGTCAGATGATTTCTAGAAAATTATGTTTAATCCAGAGTTCTTTCTACAGAAGACTACTGTATTGAATGCACATTGTCCTGTTTAACTAAGTTAGTTTCTAGCATTACTGAGCCATACAATTAGAATTGCTGAAGTTTCTGTCCAGAAGCCACATTTTCAGAAAATCAGTAGTGGCCATCAGAGTGCTGAATTAAAGAGGCAGTCAAATAGTGCAAAAGAAGAGGGAATTATAGAAGCAGAAAGTTATAAATTAATGTGCTCATATTTTCATGCTTCTTATATGCTGAGTATAGTGGTTAGTAGTCAGACACAATCGTGGATCAAAAATGTGTTGTATGATGTATTTAAAGATGGAAACATGCCAGGCGTGGTGGCTCACGCCTGTAATCCCAGCACTTTGGGAGGCTGAGGTGGGTGGATCACAAGGTCAGGAGTTCGAGACCAGCCTGGCCAATATAGTGAAACCCCACCTCTACTGAAAATAGAAAAATTAGCCGGGCATGGTGGCGGGCACCTGTAGTCTCAGCTACACAGGAGGCTGAGGCAGGAGAATTGCTTGAACCCGGGAGGTGGAGGTTGCAGTGAGCCAAGATTGCGCCATTTCACTTCAGCCTGGGCGACAAAATGGGACTTTGTCTTAAACAAAAATTTTTATTTAATTAAAAAAAAAAAAGATGGAAACATGTTTCACTGTTCTTTCTTCAATAAAGAATAGAGTTTATTTGGCTCATGTTACTGCAGGCTGTACAAGAAGCATAGGGCAGTAATCTGCTTCTAGTAAGGGCCTCAGGAAACTTAGCAGGAGGAGGAGCTGTCATATGGCAAGAAAGGGAATGAGAGAGAAGGGAAAAGTGCCACAGTCTTAACCAGATCTCATATACTTTTCTTTTTTTTTTTTTTTGAGATGGAGTCTTTTCGCCCTAGCTGGAGTGCAATGGTGCGATCTCGGTTCACTGCAACCTCCACCTGTGGGTTCTAGCGATTCTCCTGTCTCAGCTGGGATTATAGGCGCCTGCCACCACGCCAGGCTAATTTTTTTGTATTTTTAGTAAAGACGAGGGTTTTGCCATGTTGGTCTGGCTGCTCTTGAATTCCTAACCTTGTGATCCACCCACCTGATCTCACACTCATTTATTACCGTCAGAAAGGCACAAAGCCATTCATGAGGGATCTACGCCCATGACCCAAACACCTCCCAGTAGGCCCCAACTGCAGCATTGGGGATCCCATTTCACTTTTATCTTCCTTGCAACCCCCAAATATCTGAGACAGGTCTTAGTCCATTTAGAACGTTGTTTTTTTTAGAACGTTGTTTTTTTTTCCCCAAGGTTAAGGATATGCTGTGACACAGCCTCAGGAGATCCTGACAATATGTGCCTAAGGTGTTCTAGGCACAACTTGGTTTTATACGTTTTAGTGAGACAGGGCACATTAATCTATGTAAGGTGTACATTGGTTTGGTCTGGAAAGGTGGGACAACTCAAATCAGGGAGGAGGCTTCCAGGTGATAGGTAGATAAGAGACAGTTTAATTCTTTTTGAGTTTCTGATTAGGTTTTTCAAAGGAAGCAATCAGTTATGCATTTATCTCAGTGAGCAGATGGATGACTCGGAGTTCTGTCTGACCTTTGTCCCAAGGAAGAACTACGTGTATTGGGTACATGGAGACTCTGAGTTGGCTTTGAAGAAGGTGTCTTTTGAAATTTTCTAGGGTATTTCTGTCATATTGCGTTAGAAATCAAATGTTAAAATCTACAGCCAGGCATGGTGGGTTACGCCTGTAATCTCAGCAGTTTGGGAGGCCTGGAGTTCAAGACCAGCCTGGGAAATGTAGTGAAACCCCACCTCTACCAAAGAAAAAAAGCATGGTGGTACACACCCATACACCCAGCTAGTCCCAGCTACTTGGGAGGTTGAGGCAGGTGGATTGCTTAGGCCTAAGAGATTGAGGCTGCCTTGAACCAGGATTTGCCATTGCACTGCAGCCTGGACAACAGAGTAAGACTGTATTAAAAAAAATTAAAAAAAAAAAATTCTTATGTAAGCTGTAACTCATACTCTCTTTGTAGTTTTTCTCTGTTTATGTCCAAAAGTGAGCATAGCCCAAGATGCTGTACCTGTGCTTTTCTCTAAACATACTTATTTGGAGAACTCTTCGATTCTTAAATTTAAACCAGTTATTTCAAGAGTTCTCTTGATTTTCTTAATTCCATCTATGCATTTCTTTTTTTTTTTTTTTTTTTTTTTTTGAGACGGACTTTTGCTCTTGTTAACCCAGGCTGGAGTGCAATGGCGCGATCTCAGCTCACCGCAACCTCCGCCTCCTGGGTTCAGGCAATTCTCCTGCCTCAGCCTCCTGAGTAGCTGGGATTACAGGCACGTGCCACCATGCCCAGCTAATTTTTTGTATTTTTAGTAGATACGGGGTTTCACCATGTTGACCAGGATGGTCTCGATCTCTCGACCTCGTGATCCACCTGCCTCGGCCTCCCAAAGTGCTGGGATTACAGGCTTGAGCCACCGTGCCCAGCCCCATCTATGCATTTCTAATAGCCTGGTGTTCATAGCTGGCCTCAGAGAATTCCAGAGTTGGATGAGACTTCTAAGATATACATCCTTTGCTTAATTACTCACTTTGATCACTGTTGTGGTCCAGTGGCAATCAGTGGTGGGTTTTGAGAGTGCTTTGGCAGTTTAGAAATTGGTTCTAGCCAGGCGCGGTGGCTCAAGCTTGTAATCCCAGCACTTTGGGAGGCCGAGGCGGGTGGATCACGAGGTCGAGAGATCGAGACCATCCTGGTCAACATGGTGAAACCCCGTCTCTACTAAAAATGCAAAAAATTAGCTGGGCATGGTGGCGCGTGCCTGTAATCCCAGCTACTCAGGAGGCTGAGGCAGGAGAATTGCCTGAACCCAGGAGGCGGAGGTTGTGGTGAGCCGAGATCGCGCCATTGCACTCCAGCCTGGGTAACAAGAGCGAAACTCCGTCTCAAAAAAAAAAAAAAAAGAAAGAAAGAAAGAAATTGGTTCTATACGGTATGAGATTCTGTATGTATAATGACTTAGCTTCTTTACTTGAAAGGAAAGAGTACCTCTTGTTAAGAATGCCAGCAGTTCGTTACTACTTTTTTCATTTTACCAAACTAATAAAATAATAATCAGAACTCTGGATCTGGAAAAAAAAACCTGGATTTATTTCTTTACATCTTTCTCTTATTAATGTATTTATCACTGTTTTTTGTTTTTTGTTTTTTGTTGCAGGCCCCAGCTGTTGAAGAATGCTCTGCAGAGAGCAGTAGAGAGAGGCCAGTTAGAACAGATAACTGGCAAAGGTGCTTCGGGGACATTCCAGGTTAGAGACCAGAGGATTGATTGTGAAGAAGTGCTTCTTAAAGATTTTGGTTTCAGGACCTCAGTATACTGTAAAAATTTATTAAGGGGGTCAGACATGATGGCTCACACCTATAATCCCAGCACTTTGGGAGGCCAAGGTGGGCGGATTATGAGGTCAAGAGATCATGACCATCCTGGCCAACATGGTGAATCCCCTCCTTTACTAAAAGTACAAAAATTAGCTGGGCGTGGTGGCTTGCATCTGTAGTCCCAGATACTCTGGAGACTGAGGCAGGCACTCCAGCCTGGTGACAGAGTGAGACTCCATCTCAAAAAAAAAAAAAAAAAATTTATTGAGGACTCCCGAAGAACTTTTGTTTATGTGGGTTAGAAATTGACACGGTAGCCGGGCGCGGTGGCTCAAGCCTGTAATCCCAGCACTTTGGGAGGCCGAGGCGGGTGGATCACGAGGTCAAGAGATTGAGACCATCCTGGTCAACGCGGTGAAACCCCGTCTCTACTAAAAATACAAAAAATTGGCTGAGCATGGTGGCGCGTGCCTGTAATCCCAGCTACTCAGAAGGCTGAGGCAGGAAAATTGCCTGAACCCAGGAGGCGGAGGTTGCGGTGAGCCGAAATCGCGCCATTGCACTCCAGCCTGGGTAACAAGAGCGAAACTCCGTCTCAAAAAAAAAAAAAAGAAAGAAATTGACACAGTGCCGGGTGCAGTGGCTCACACCTGTGATCCCATCCAGCACTTTGGGAGGCTGTGGATCACCTGAGGTTAGGAGTTCGAGACCAGCCTGGTGAAACCCGTCTCTACTAAAAATACAAAAATTAGCTGGACGTGGTGACACACGCCTGTAGTCCCAACTACTTGGGAGGCTGAGGCAGCAGAATCACTTGAACCCGGAAAGTGAATTTCTTGTACTATGTTACCTTAAAATTCATTGAACTTTGAATAGATGTTTTAATCCTGCATAATTTTATAGCATGGTACATTGGACATTTCAAAAATAGTGGCTTACATAAATTTTCCAAATGTTGGCATTTCATTATATATGATAACAAAAATCGCAATCAATCATTGGTATTGGCCACTGATCTTATAAGAACAGTATTTAAGTATTGGGAAGATAACAAACTCACAGTGATGAACACAGGTTTTTCAGAATTTAAATTTTCTCTTGAAAGGTTGAATTTTATCATTGGCAACAAATAACGTTATGTTTTGACATGACAGACTCTTCTAGTTCGTTTTCAAGATACTGTCTACCTCATAACCAAGTGTCTGAATAATGGTAGTTTAGCTGTCAGTTATTTCTTCAAGAAAAAAAAAACATTCCAAGAAAAATGTAGCTAATTCAGCTCTTAACTCTAATAATTACACAAGTGCTTTTCCTGGATACCGTCATGTCTACATATGTAGCAGATATGGGTTATATGTTGCTGTTTCATCCCATAAAATATTCTAAAGACACATATTCAAAAGTTGAGATTTAATAAAATAATATTTAGTACTTTATGAAGGGCATTCCTAAGTGAATTGGTTCTCTTTTTTTAAACCGTAAGTCCATAGTAATAAAGAAGACAGTAACCACATTTTTTGCCTCTGCCTTGATCTGTGGTAAGCTGACGGCCGTTTTACCCACCATTGCTTCTGCACCATCAGTGCAAATGTCAAGACAGTGGAAAGGCCAGATGTAGTGGCTCATGCCTATAATCCCAGCATTTTGGGATGCCATGGCAGGAGAATCAGTTGAGGTCAGAAGTTTGAGGCCAGCCTGGCCAACATGGTGAAACCCCGTCTGTACTAAAAATACAAAAATTAGCCGGGTGTGGTGGCAGGCGCCTATAACCCCAGCTACTCAGGAGGTTGACGCAGGAGAATCGCTTGAACCTGGGAGGTAGAGGTTGCATTTGGCCGAGACTGTGCCATTGCACTCCAGCCTGGGCAACAGAGCGAAATTCTGTCTCAAAAAAAAAAAAAAGTGGGCTGGGCGCAGTGGCTCAAGCCTGTAATCCCAGCACTTTGGGAGGCCAAGGCGGGTGGATCACAAGGTCAAGAGATCGAGACCATCCTGGTCAACATGGTGAAACCCCATCTCTACTAAAAATACAAAAAATTAGCTGGGCATGGTGGCACGTGCCTGTAATCCCAGCTACTCAGGAGGCTGAGGCAGGAGAATTGCTTGAACCCAGGAGGCGGAGGTTGCGGTGAGCCGAGATCACCCCATTGCACTCCAGCCTGGGCAACAGGAGCGAAACTCCGTCTCAAAAAAAAAAAAAAAAAGTGAAAAAGCAAATAACATCTTAAGATTTTGTTTTTCTGTTTGGGTTCGTTGTTTTTTGAGACAGAGTCAAGCTGTAACACCAAGGCTGGAGTACAGCAGTGCCATCTCGGCTCTGCAGCCTCCGCCTCCCAGGGTCAAGTGATACTCCTGCCCCAGTTTTCAGAGAAGCTGAGACTACAGGTGGCTGCCCGGCTAATTTTTGTATTTTTTTGTGGAGAAGAGACTTCACCATGTTGGCCAGGCTGGTTTCAAACTCCTTACCTCAAGTGATCCGCCCTCCTCTGCCTCCCAAAAGTGCTGGGATTACAGGTGTGAGCCACCGCGCCTGACCCATCTCAGTTTTATTATGCAAATAGTTTTGACCTTGGAGATCTTCTGAAAGGGTGTCAGGAACCCCAGAAGGCTGTAGACTATTCTTTGGGAACCACTAACCAGTTTTGTGGAGCATTTCTGATTTTCTCCTTTTCCTTTTTTGCTTATTACTGCTAACCTTTGTTCCTGCACCTTTCATTTTCAAAGTATGTTATGTAATTTCCTTTTGTATGATCCTGTAAAATATTTTTTAGTTTGTTTATTTTCAGAGATAGGGTCTTGGTCTGTCACTCAGGCTGGAGTACAGTGATGTAATCATAGCTCACTGTAGCCTCAACTTCCTTGGCTTAAGCCATCCTCCCACCTCAGCCTTTCATGTAGCTAGGACTACAGGCATGCCATCATTCGTAGCTAGTTTTTTTTATTTTTAGTAGAAAGAGGGTCTCGCTATGTTGCCCAGGTTGGTCTTGAACCCTTGGCCTCAAACAGTGCTCCCTCATTAGCCTCCCAAAGTATTGGGATTACAGGCATGAACCACTGTGCTCCCTGATACCCTAAATATTTATCAGAATTTTTTTTTGCTATTTTCCTCATAGGATTGAAAGGTCTATTTATTATTTTTTTGTAACTACAGTTGACCCTTGAACAACATAAGGGTTAAGGGTGCAGATACCCCATGCAGTAAAAAATTCGTGTATAATTTTAGATTCCCAAAAAACTTGACTATTAATAGCCTACTATTGACCAGAAGCCTTAATTGCTAATACATATTGTGTATGTTGTATATATTACTAATGTACTCTTACAACAAAGCAAGCTAGAGAAAAGAAAATGTTACTGAGAAAATCCTAAGAAAGACAAAATATGGCCTGGGCGTGGTGGCTCATTTAAGGGAGGCCAAGGCAGGCGGATCTCCTAAGGTCAAGAGTTCAAGGCCAGCCTGACCAGTGTGGTTAAACCACATCTCTACTAAAAATACAAAAATTAGCCCTAAGTGTAGTGGTGGGCGCCTGTAATCCCAGCTACTCAGGAGGTTGAGGCAGGAGAAACGCTTGAACCCAGGAGGCAGAGGTAGCAACAAGCAAGACTGCGCCTTTATACTCCAGCCTGGGTGACAGAGTGAGACACCAACATCTTAAAAAAAAGAGAAAATATATTTACTGTTCATTAAGTGGAAGAGGATGATCATGAATGTCTTTATCCTTGTCATCTATGAGTTGAGTAGGCTTAGGAGGACAAGGAGGTGTTGGTCTTGCTGTCTTGGGGTGGCAGGCAGAGGCAGAAGAAAATCCACATATAAGTGGACCAGCACAGATAAAATTGTGTTGTGTTCAGTGGTCAGCTGTGCTTCATTTTCTTGAGAAAAATGAACTATTCTCAAATGAAGGAATTTTTTTTTTTTTTTTTTTGACAGAATCTTGCTCTGTCACCCAGGCTGGATGCAGTGGCATGATCTCAGCTCACTCAACATCTGCCTCTTTGGGTCAAGTGGTTCTCCTTCCTCAGCCTCCCAACTGACTGGGACCACAGACACCCATCACCACACCCAGCTAATTTTTTTTGTATTTTTAGTAGACATGGGTTTTTGCCATGTTACCCAGGCTGGTCTTGAACTCCTGGCCTTCAGTGACTGCCTGCCTCTGCCTCCCAAAGTGTTGGGATTACAGGCATGAGTACCCAGCCAAAAGAATCTTAGTTTATTAAGGATATAACTGGTTGACCTGCTTTTTGGGGTACAGTTGTTGGTATCTTTGGGTTAGGCTGGATGGAGGGTAGATGGAAGGAGAAAATATCCATGAGAGGGTTGGGACTTCTCAGTTAGAATGAATACCTGGTGAATGGGAAGAGAAAGTCCCTAAGCTGACAATTTATTGTAAAACGTATCTGTGCTAATGCAGGAACTCCGACCCACCTGGTGCAGAGGAGTCTTGTCTTGACCTGCTTTGGGAGAGTGTTGTCTTGATGCTTTTCTCTTCCTCCTTGGAAAACAGCTGAAGAAATCAGGGGAGAAACCCCTGCTTGGTGGAAGCCTGATGGAATATGCAATCTTGTCTGCCATTGCTGCCATGAATGAGCCGAAGACCTGCTCTACCACTGCTCTGAAGAAGTATGTCCTAGAGAATCACCCAGGAAGCAATTCTAACTATCAAAGTAAGACTCAGTTGTGTATATTTAACTGGGATTAGGAGAATTTTCTTTAGCAAAAACCATAGCGATCATGCTATTAATGTGAAAGTATTAACTACTGACTGTGAAAACCAAGAGAGAACAGCTTTACAAATTTAATATTTACAAAAAGAAAAATAATCAAAACTGAATTCTTTATTTAAAGCATCTGCTTATAAGAAGTTGGTTTACTTTACTGTGAAGATTTTTCTGATACTTATTGTAATTTAGATAAACCTCTATGTTGAAAGCACCTCTGAATTATAGTATATTTTTTTCTGCTTTGTAATGTTTACCTAAAACATCTCATTTTACTTTGAAACTAAGCCAGAATTTTAGAATACTTACCACTTAGATTATTTCTTACTGACTTAAGCCACACATCAGAAAATACTTTATTTCAGTAAAGTATATTTACTCTAGGAGGTGGTGATTTGAGATGAGACACCCTGCTTTATCAGCATTATCACGTATGGATTGGTGAGACTGGGTGACTTCTCAGTGAACTACTAGAAGAGGCAGTGATGTAGGGTGAGGGATATTGAAATAAAGTTTAACAGAAGAAGACAAGCCAGAATATGTTATTGTAAATAAAAAGGTAATTTTGATGTCTTAATATTGACTTTTAACATATGCAATATGTTTTGTTATGGTTTTTGTTTTCAGAGACAGGATCTTGCTTTGCCTCTACTAAAAGTGCAGTGGCTCCTTCATAGGTCACTGCAGCCTCAAACTGCTGGGCTCAGGTGATCCTCCTACGTCAGCCTCCTCAATAGCTGGGACTACAGGCATACACCACCACACCTGGCTAATTTTTAAATTTTGGGTGGTCTTGCTATGTTGCCCAGGCTGGTTTCAAACTCCTGGCCTTAGTGATCTCAAAGTGCTGGGATTAGAGGCATGTGCCACTATGTCTGGCCAGTATGTATTTTTAAACATTATGAAGGAATGCTTTTCTGGTTATTTTCTTCTTACCTACTTTGAAAACTGCTGTTTTTATCTTTTCTTCTTATACATACCGTATATATGCATATTGATCCTTTTAGACTACTTCATGATTTTCTGTTTCCAAATGTTTTAAGAGAAGATGAATTTGGTTAAGAAGCCTTTCAGTTTCACTGATATTCATAGCTGTTTTTTGGATACTGAATCACCATAAAATTTGGATATGTCTTTGTAAGAAAGATGAGAATGAAAGAATTCAGGAGCCAGCATACTGTTTTGTTACTGTTTACTGATTTTTGAAAAATTGGTTCTGTTCTTCTTGATAAGATACTCTCCTACACTGGGCACAGTGGCTCACACCTGTAATCCCAACACTTTGGGAGGCCAGGGCAGGCGGATCACAAGATGAGGAGGTCAAGACCATCCTGGCCAACATGGTGAAACTCAGCCAGGCCTGGTGACGCGCACCTATAGTCCCAGCTACACAGGAGGCTGAGGCAGGGGAATCGCTTGAACCTGGGACGTGGAGATTGCAGTGAGCCGAGATCACACCACTGCACTCCAGCCTGGTAACAGAGCAAGACTCCATGTCAAAAAAAAAGATTTTCTTCTAGATAATTATCAATACCTATAGGTACACAATAGATGTTTAAATAAATCGAAATATCCAGTATCTCACAAGATTAGGCCTGTCTTGAATGAATGAATCGAAATAAATATTTAGTTTTAGGTCTGCTGTTTATGTGCTTCCTTAGAGCAAGTCAGTTTGACTCAATGGTCTCTAATGTGTCTTTTCATTATAACACTTGCCAGGTCTGGTGGCTCATGCCTGGAGTCCTGGCACTTTGGGAGGCCAAGGTGGGAGTATTGCTTGAGCCCAGGAGTTTGAGACCAGCCTGGACAACATAGTGAAACTCAGTCTCTATATTTTAAAAAATTAAAAAATACGTGTGTGTGTGTGTGTGTGTGTGTGTGTGTGTGTGTGTGTCCGTGTGTAACTTAACTTGCCAAATTTAGGAGCACTAAATAAATGGTGAGTTAAATACCTTTGATTCACTTAGTATATGTCAATTACTGTATGTGACAGGACATTAAGTTGATGCCAATTGATGGGCATCTGTTTGTGGTTTAGGGAATTATCTAGTCTGAATAACTAGATAACTTTTTCTGAATTTTTTTGTTCAGTGCATTTGCTGAAAAAAACCCTACAGAAATGCGAAAAGAATGGATGGATGGAACAGATCTCTGGGAAAGGTTTCAGTGGCACCTTCCAGCTCTGTTTTCCCTATTATCCCAGGTAAGCACTTAGCCTGTAACAGATCACTGTAAATTTATAATCTTGATTCTAGGTTACACACTTTATTTAACTTATTTTACCCTCATTACTGTTACTAGTGAACTGGAGATACAGCCGTCCTTTGTTATGTATGGGTGATTGGTTTCAGAATTGCCCACATACCCAAATACGCATGTACTCAATCCTTTGGAATTCATGTTTCTGAAAAGTCTGTCCTATTTGCCTATTTGTTGTGTTTTTTGGTTTGTTTTAGGTTTTCGTTTTGTTTTTGAGATGGAATTTTGCTCTTTGTTGCCCCGGCTGGAGTGCAGTGGTGTGATCTCAGCTCACTGCAACCTCTGCCTCCTGGGTTTAAGTGATTGTCTGTCTTAGCCTCCCAAGTGCTGGAATTACAGGCGCCTGCCACCACAGCCCAGCAAATTTTTGTTATTTTTAGTAGAGATGGAGTTTCACCATGTTGGCCAGGCTGGTTTTGAACTCCTGACCTCAGGTGATCTGTTGGCCTCTGCCTCGCAAAGTACTAGGATTACAGGTGTGAGCCATCACGCCTGGCCAAGTCTATCCTCTTCGTATGCAGGCTTCACATCCTTCGAATACTGTACTTCTAATCTGTGTCTGGTTGAAAAAAATCCACATACAAAGTAGGCTCATGCATTTCAAACCTGTGTTCAAGGGTCAACTGTATTTGAAAATAAAGATGACTTAAAGCAGTATTAGTATGAAGCAAAGGTTTTTGTATAAGAATGGGGGTTTTCACTAGAAATCAGATTATTTGAGATCCTTGGATGGTCATTTTGATGTTTGTTTCTTCTTTATTGAGTAAATGATAATGACAGGTTATTAGAGGATTATGTATAAGTTTTTGTTTTTGTTTTTTTGAGACAAAGTCTCACTCGCCCAAGCTGGAACAGTGGTGCAATCTCGGCTCACTGCAACCTCCAGTTCCTGGACTCAAGTGATCCTCCCACCTCAATTTCCCAAGTAGCTGGGGCTACAGGTGCACGCCATCACACCTGGCTAATTTGTGTTTTTTGTATCGATGAGGTCTTGCCGTGTTATCTAGGCTGGTATTGAATTCCTGGGCTCAAGCAGTCCTCCTGCCTCAGCCTCTTAGAGTGATAGGATTAGATGTATACATTTTAATTGTCCAATACCAAGTGGGAAGAACTTTGACTGTTTCCAAGAATCTTAACTCTGCCTTCATACTGTGAAGACGGGCACTTATTTGAACACTTGTCTCTTGTAAATATCTTTTTTATTCTTTGAAACAAAAAAATGTGGGCTGGGCAGAGTGGCTCACGCCAGTGATCCCAGCACTTTGAGAGGCCGAGGCAGGCGGATCACCTGAGGTCAGGAGTTCCTCCCGACCAACATGGAGAAACCCCATATCTCGTAAAAAAATACAAAATTAGCCGGGCATGCTGGTGGATACCTGTTATCCCAGCTACTCAGTAGGCTGAGACAGGAGAATCTCTTGAACCTGGGAGGCGAAGGTTGCACTGAGCCAAGATTGCACCATTGCACTCCAGCCTGGGCAGCAAGAGCGAAACTTCATCTCAAAGAAAAGAAACAAAAAAATGTATTGAGCGCCTCCTGTGGGCCAAGCATTGTTTCATGCGCTGGTACTAAAGCCTTTTGATTTCTAGTAAAGTACATAACATACACCACTGAGACCCTATTTTATTTAGCAAGACTGTCGTGTAACTTTCTTTTATTTCTATACAAACATAAGTGTTACTTGGCTGAATATATGTTTTATGAATTTTTCAAACATTAAACATTAAATGTAATTCCCAGAGTCACACACACAAATGTTATAGTCTGCCAGGTGTGGTGGGATGCACCTGTAGTCCTAGCCACTTTGGAATGTGAGGTTGGAGGATCCCTTGAGCTTAGGAGTTTGAGTCCAGCCCGGGCCACATAACAAGACCCTGTCTCTTAAAAATAAGAAACACATACACACACACACACACACACACACACACACACACACACACACACACACTCTCTGTATGTTATCATTTAAGGATGTTAATCAGAGGAATCAAGATTCATACCATTAAGGACAAAGAGTTTAGGAACCGCTTGCCAAATTTCTCTAAAGCTTTGAAGAGATTTAAGACTTTGAAGTCTTCTTTTTTTTTTTTTTAAGACTTAGGAGGCCTTTTGCCAGTATTGTGAAGGTAAAGTGTGTATTGCTATGCAGACTGTTCATTGCTGTGTACTGATTGACTAATACAGTGCCAGACACAGGAGTTTAAGTAACTGTTTACTAAAGAAATTGATTGTGGGTTAATTTTATTAAATAGTGGATATAGAATTAGGTATGGTCCAGGACTTTTATAGTTTTGGCATAACTTTGTATGTATTTTCAAAACAGGGTAAATTGTAACCGGATATATGTAACCTAACGGCATTTTTGGGAGGGGTGGGAAGAAGTGGGTAATGTCCAGGTAGGAGTACCTAGGTTCACATTGTTTTTCTTGTCCTTTGTGAGAACTTGTGTTTTACCTAATTTTTTTTCTCCATAGTCCAGGAGTTCTATTTCCAAAGAAAGAGCCAGATGATTCTAGAGATGAGGATGAAGATGAAGATGAGTCATCAGAAGAAGACTCTGAGGATGAAGAGCCACCACCTAAGAGAAGGTGTGTTCATATGAAAATCCCTCGTAGGGAGGACACTGAAAATGGTACTAACAGGAGGGGCTGAAGCCAAAAAAGTGTTTCAGAAACTCTGGATCCTTCTCAGGTTCTTTACATAAATTTGGATTTATCTTCTCCCTTGAAAATCAAGGGCTCCAGACTTTTAGAGCAAGTGTTTATATATATATCCATAGTTTAGTTATTCAAAGAAAAATAATTTCATATTTCCCTAGGAAAATGTCATAAAATTATGTCTAGGATTTATGAATTGGTTAAATTTATATATAGTCCTCTAGTAAAAAATTGTCACATTCCTATTCTTAATATAAGTGACCACTTTGTATACCAGTTCCCTTTAGAAAGCATCTGGTTGTCCCAGCAAAACAAATCTCTTATGTACTAAGTGATAGCCTTTGCCCTTTGGTTCTCACAGGTTGCAGAAGAAAACCCCAGCCAAGTCCTCGGGGAAGGCTGCATCTGTGAAGCAGAGAGGGTCCAAACCTGCACCTAAAGTCTCAGCTGCCCAGCGGGGGAAGGCTAGGCCCTTGCCCAAGAAAGCCCCTCCTAAGGCCAAAACTCCTGCCAAGAAAGCCAGACCTTCACCCACAGTCATCAAGAAACCTAGTGGTGGCTCCTCAAAGAAGCCTGCAACCAGTGCAAGAAAGGAAGTGAAATTGCCGGGCAAGGGCAAATCCACCATGAAGAAGTCTTTCAAAGTGAAAAAGTAAATTTTATAGGACAAAAGGGTATCATGATGAAATTCAGAATCTTATTTTCTAAGGTCAGTGTGCATTTGTTTAGTTTTGATGCTTTTCAAATTACATTATTTTCCTTCCCTATGAGCACTGTAGGGAGGGACTATAAAGAAACCAGTTAGGCATTTGCTAGCTTTAGGTGCTGTTCTTGGTGCCTGCCTTTTCCCTTGTTCATTTAAATTTCTGCAATAATCCTGGACTTTTCCTAACTATATAATCTATACCTGTCCTTTTTCTCCCCCTACCCCAGCCCCCTATCGTTTTATGGTCAGCTTTGCCTTTTTTTCCCTTCCAATTTTATCTAAACAGTTGCAAAGATTTTTATATTTTTAGAAAGCATAAAGAACGGTGTGCCAGTCAGGTGCTGGAACTAAAAAGGAGGTGCAGTATAGCACTGACTGAGTTGTAAAGCCTCCTGCCTGGAGAATTCAGTTATAGCTGTAATAATTAATCTTATTTATAAAAACCACTCCACTAACCTTTTCTCTCCAACTGTAAACACAGAGACAGCTTTGGGAGTAAGCCAAAAACAGTGTGATCTCAATTAAATTTTGAAGGTATATAACTCCTTTCGGCTATTTTTCATATTGATGAATTTCTAGGTATTTTTCACTGGCCCAAGGCATTACATTCCCTTAACAGCAAGCACAAGTTCTCTATACCGCTTGTTTTTTTGTTGTTGTTGTTGTTTGAGACGGAGTCTTGCTCATGCACCCTGGAGTGCAGTGGTGCAATCTTGGCTCACTGCCATCTCTGCCTCCTGGGTTCAGGCAATTCTCCTGCCTCAGCCTCCCAAGTAGCTGGGTTTATGTGTGTTCTCCACCACACCCGGCTAATGTTTGTATTTTTAGTAGAATGGGGTTTCACCATGTTGGCCAGGCTGGTCTCGATCTCCTGACCTCGGGTAATCGACTGTCTCAGCCTCCCAAAGTTCTGGGATTACAGGAGTGAGCCACCATGCCCAGCCTATACCACTTGGTTTTTGACTGGAAGGGAAGTACAGAAATACATTGATTTTTGTGGTGTTTTGGTGTCACCTGTGTTACCAAAAATCAAAACAAATCTTTTTTTTTTTTTTTTTGAGACGGAGTCTCACTCTGTCTCCCAGGCTGGAGTGCAGGGTATGATCTCGGATCACTGCAGCCTCCGCCTCCCAAGTTCAAGCGATTCTCCTGCCTTAGCCTCCTAAGTAGCTAGGACTACAGGCACATGCTACCATGCCCGACTAAATTTTTGTATTTTTAGTAGAGATGGTTTCACCATGTTAGCCAGGATGGCCTCGATCTCCTGACCTCGTGATCTGCCTGCCTCGGCCTCCCAAAGTGCTGGGATATAGGAGTGAGCCACCTCACCCAGCCCAAATCTTCTTGATCATGTTTAAATATATTTTTTAATATTTGGAGCATGAGTTGTCACTTCTTGTTTGCCTTTTTTATAAGGAAATGTTGGAGAGTTACATCATTGCCAACGTAGAAATGTTAAGTGGAAAAATATACAATTTGCTAAAATAAATGAGATTCCACATTCATTTGTGGTTTTTTTTTCCCCCTCCTTTCTTTCCACAGCACTTTTGATATCAAGCAAGTGGCTTTCTTTTTGAGATATTAAAAAGAAAAGAAAAAAAAGTAAATGAAGCCCAACTACCTTTCTTTCTTGTATTTGTTTTAGTATTGTGAAGTTGTGTTAAATAGTACTAGCTAGAAATACCAATTTCTGGTTATCATTTCTCTTCCCTGTGGCACTTGACATTTTAATTGTCTTAAAGTTTTTGAAGTACATCTGGCCCTCCTGAGTACTGCCAGAGGCAAAAGATGTTTGTTTCTTACTCATTCCGCTTTTGTCTCCTGGGATCCCTTCTGTAGCCTAAGTATGGCTGGGAAATGGACTTGAGAAGATTGGCTTGAATTAGAGCATAATCATCTGTGATCCCATCATGAGTTCATTGGAATTTGTGTTGCATGTAAGGCAATCTTTCCTGTTGTAAATCTTCCTTTTTTTATGTACATATATTTTGAAAAATATGAATAAACATGAAATTTTAAAAGCTGCTCAACTGTAGCTTATATTTAAAAGTTTGCTAGTATAGTATATCCTCAAAAGTACAAGTGTTGCCCTCACTTTTAAGTCTTTCCTACTCTTTGAAATGAACACCATTGTTTTCCTTTTTAAATACAAGCTCTAGCTTGTGAATTCTTACAGAGGGTAAATGACGTTTTCCAGATACATTGAATGATAATTACATAATGAATCAAAGGTTTAAAAATCATTTTGTATTTTATTAAGGATTGTTTTCAAGATCATAGAGTACAATCTTTCATGGTCAGTAAATGTTCAATATTCAGATAAGTCCATGGACTAGAAAAAATTACAGTACTATAAAAGATAACAGATAAACCCTAGACATTAAATTCTAGAAAGTAATTGTAATTTCTCTTGTGCTCGTTAGCAAGTAACGATTCTTAATAGTATGGTACCTGTGCTCAGAATTGTGTACTCTTCTGAAATCAAAGTTAGGAGATTTAGGTTGGTTTGTTTGCTTTATGATATTGCATTTAAAAAGACTTAACTGAATAATCACCTGGTAGCTGTATTGCACACCAGGCACTTAAGCATTGGGTGAGAAGTTTAGATCATTTAAAGTTTCTTCCAACTCTTAACGTTCTGTTAACTGTAAGGGTAATTTTTTTCAGTGTAATGGAAAGGGAAAAGACAGGAGGGCCATTGCACTCTTCATGAAAATCCACAACTGTCAAAGACACGAAACTTACGTACATTGAGATAAAGGAATGTTTGATTTTTCCTTTAGGCATTCCATAGGAGCAAAACACATAATTTTTACTTCCGTGTTCAGAAAGCGGAACAATAAACCCCAGAGGTAATCCCTAACACAGATCAATAGCTTCAGTACTCTGTTGATGGCTTAGTGATCTCAGTTACAATGTTTCATATACTCTGAAACTACCTACAAGCTACCTTTGTTAAATGAGTCTCAGAAAGTGCTGGGAGACAGATTATTGGCTTCTTAACCTACAAAATGAGAAAGAAAAGATAACCATTGCTGAGAAATGTGGAGACCTTTCCTTAGCACTATGACAGAAGCATTCATTGCAGATGGATCCTGACTAACCACCCACATGGACTTAATTGAAGGAACCTGGTCCTGTCTAAATCTTAGAAACAGGTGTATATTTTAATCATGTCTGTTGAGTATAAACAGAAAATGACATGAAAACAGGAACTCAACAATATGCTAATGCCTTTCGACATTTGTTTTTTCCATCATTCCTGTGTTTTCAAATTTTGTTAGCCCTTGTCAAGGTTTACTAACCAATTTTTAATACTTACTTTAAAGAGCCTATGAAATTATTCTCTCTTAGGCTTGATACTCTTGCCATCTTGATAGGAGAATGAAGCTCACCAGCCATGTTCATTAAATACTGCATTTAACTAACAAAGAGAAACTTTAAAAATTTAGGTTTATACTTCAGGTCTTCTGTCTGTAGAACCTGGTTAATTTTTCTTTCTTTGGGTAAGCAAAAATTCTAATTTTAGCTTACCCAAAGAAAGGAGAGAAATTCTGTTCTTAATTGAAAAAGACCATTAAACTGTTTCCCCAGAGGTTCTAGTTGACATTCTAGCATGTCTAATCGACTTTCTAGCATGTCGATTTTGCTTTCGCATTTTTATGGTTGAACAGATGGTCACTCATGTCTGCAGAGCTAAAGCTAAGGAACCAGAACTATTGAAGCTCTTGGCTTAGGAACCACTTGACAGAGATTTGTTTAGAAGCCATTACAGATGGCTAAACAGTACCCCTAATCAGCTGTATCATTTTCTTTTTTTAAGAAATTAATCTCTACCATCTTTATAGCTACATTTTATTTGTATTTGTGTATGTGTGTGATGGAGTTTGCTGTGTCGCTTAGGCTGTAGTGGCGTGGTGTGATCTTGGCTAACTGCAGCTTTGAACTCCTGTGCTCCAACAGTTCTCCCACCTCAGCCTCCCAAGTAGCTGGGACTACAGGCAAGCACCACCATGCCTGGCTAATTTGTTTTTTTTTTTGATGTTGCCCAGGCTGGTCTTGAACTCCTGGCCTCACGTGATCTTCCCACCTGGGCTTTCCAAAGTGCCGGGATTACAGGCGTGAGTCACCACACCTGGACCTATTCTTTCTTCTGTTATTTTTTTTTTTTTTTTTTTTTTGAGACGGAGTTTTGCTCTTGTTACCCAGGCTGGAGTGCAATGGCACGATCTCGGCTCACCGCAACCTCCGCCTCCTGGGCTCAGGCGATTCCCCTGCCTCAGCCTCCTGAGTAGCTGGGATTACAGGCACGTGCCACCATGCCCAGCTAATTTTTTGTATTTTTAGTAGAGACGGGGTTTCACCATGTTGACCAGGATGGTCTCGATCTCTCGACCTCGTGATCCACCCACCTCGGCCTCCCAAAGTGCTGGGATTACAGGCTTGAGCCACCGCGCCCGGCCTCTTCTGTTATTTTCTGTAAGATTGTTAACTGCAGTGGCTTTTTTCCTATTGAAAAAACTTTCTACCTTTGATGATTCCATTTTACCAGCTTTTTAACTGTATTAACTATTCTTAATTCTGTCTTGTCAACCACTGGTATGTCAAACAAGAAGGCCTCAAAAGGCTGAAGCAATTTTCCTTAAAAATTACAACTCTGAGGCTGCGCGTCGTGTCTTAGTGAGCCTGTAATCCCAGCACTTTGGGAGGCCAAGGCAGGCAGATTACCTGAGGTCAGGAGTTCAAGACCAGCCTGACCAACATGGAGAAACCCTGTCTCTACTAAAAATACAAAATGAGCTGGGTGTGGTGGCACATCTCTTTAATCTCCAGCTATTCGGGCGGCTGAGGCAGGAGAATCGCTTGAACCCAGGAGGCAGAGGTTGTGGTGAGCCGAGATCATGCCATTGTACTCCAGCCTGGGCAACACGAGTGAAACTCCATCTCAAAAAAAAAAAAATTACAACTCCCTTTTCTCCTGATAATTGTATATAATGTATAATTAACACTACTGAATCTTTGCTTAGCAAAAGAGAACTCTGTGGTACCTGACAAGGTACAGTTATAAGTTTGGCTCATTAATAAAAAATAGTAATAGTCATAGCAACTAACACTAACTGAGCTTTTTCCACATGCCAGGCTTTGAACATACATTATTATTTTTATTTATTTATTTTTGAGATAGCATCTCACTGTTCGCCCAGGCTGGAGTGAAGAGGTGCGATCTCGGCTCACTGCAGCCCCTGCCTCCCAGGTTCGAACAATCCTCCCACCTCAGCCTCCTGAGTAGCTGGGACTATAGGCATGTGCCACCATGCCCAGCTAGTTTTTGTGTTTTTAGTAAGAGTTTCACCATGTTGGCCAGGCTAGTCACAAATTCCTGACCTCGGGTGATCCTCCTGCCTTGGTCTCCCAAAGTGTGGGGATTACGGGTGTGAGTCACACTGTGCCCAGCCATATTATCTCATTTTAATCTTAGCAGCTCTTGGAGATGGGAATTGTTTATTATCCCCATTTTACAAAAGGGAAAACCACGACACAGAGTGAAGTAACTTGTTCCAGGTTGTAAGTGTCAAAGACAGAATTAAAACCCAGGCACTCTGAATGCAAGCCGACTTGCTTGCCTCCACAGTTTTTCAAGCTTCTGAATTCTCCCCTTATGCTGCAGCCTAGTGACTCCATATGTTAGTCATGTAAGGGAAAGGACACACTTATTTTTTATTTATCTTTATTTTTATTTTTTGAGACAGGATCTTGCTCTGTCACCCAGGCTGGCATGCAGTGGTGCAGTCACAGATTACTATAGCCTCAACCTTCCGGACTCGAGCAGTCTTCCCCGCCTCAGCCTCTGAAGTAGCTGGAACCACAGGCACGTGATAGAGTAAATTATGCCCAGCTAATTTATTTTAATTTTTCATAGAGATGGAGTCTCACTCTCTTGCCCAGGCTGGTCTTGAACTTCTGAGCTCAAGTGCTCTTTCTGCCTTGGCCTTGCAAGGTGTTGGAATTATGGGTATGGGCCACTGTGCCTGGCCAAGCACATATTTAAGAGAGCAGAGGGCTTGGAAGTTACTGTCAGCTTTGCCAATAGTCAAGTTAGTGTGGCTTTTGTTTTAATTTTGATAACTGAAAATTAGACCTTGAATTACTGGAAGGTACTATCTTGGCTGCCCTAAGTTTTGCGGGTTTTTTTGTTCATTTTTATGTCACAAGTTACTCAGCAATCCCTTAAGTCTTTTTTTAGGACACTCCAGGTATTTGATCATTCTCATATTCTAGTCATGGGACACACTCCGGTCTCCTCACAGTGTACTCATCGTAGGAGAAGCCATCCCATGAATTTGTCCAGTTTGCAGGATGCTGATACTCGTGAGAGCCTTTCCCCCTCTGGGAGCCACAGCTTCTATCAGAACTTCATGTTGCTAAATGAGCAGCTTTCTTTTTATAAACTGTGAACTTACATTCCAGGAAGCAAGAGCAATTCCAGAATGGGGATTTTCTCAGACAACTGAATTTTTTGGACACAGGATCTGCTTAGTAATCGTGAGCGGGAATGTTAGAAATCCTTGCTCTTATATATATGATTCTGAAAGAAACCTTAGTCATTCAGTCTCTCCTACCTTTGTGTGCTTTGTTTGCCTAATACCAACAAATAAATGCTCTTTTTCCTAATTCCCAGTTTTACATCCTGCTCATCCATTCTGTTTGAGAACTTTTGCTCTGATGAATTTATTGTGTCAAACCTAAATTCCTTGTTACCTGTTTGTGTAACTCAAACTTGCCGATATAGTCTATAGAATAACAAATGTTTGTCAATTGCAAATTGAGATTAACTTTTGATTGGAGTACACTGCTCAGTCCAGTGTCCTAACATCTGTGACTGTGGTCCTGTGCGGTGGTCCCTGAAGACTGTGTCACTTAACCAGCTGTGTGACCTTGGCCACCCACTTAATCTCCCTGAGCCTTGATTTCCTCATCTGTAAAATAATGGGCTTCAATTTAACAATCCTTGTTTTTTCAG